TTCTAATGCTTTGGGAGGACCTGCCATGGTTCAGATCTCGAGTCTTGGGTCGGATCTCGATGCTTGAGGAGCAGTGGATCGTATCCTTTTTGGCACGCTTCGTGAACACATAAGCTTGTTAGATCAGATCTCGCGACCTATCTCAACAGACTTCGTCCTACCACCTGCCAGACTTCACTGAGATAGGAGAACCTTGTCCTCTTTGACGGCGTGACTGACGATGGATCCAGAATGATTCTCTACTCCTCGGAACCTCAAAATCCTCGGAGACAACCCTAACTGGATTGTCGATGGAGCGTTCTATGTCTGCCCTAGGATATTCTGACAGAGTTACTCCATCCACGCTGTCATCGATAAGAAGTGCATCCCTTTGGTGTACGCTCTACTTTCTGACAAGACGGAGAATACGTATATATTTTTGTTGAATATTATAACTAGAAACCAGGCAGCAGCTAAACTAGAGCGGTATTTGGAAACCTGTTTATCTGTTAGTTATTTCTAACTGACGATTGGGTTCAGTTGTCGTTTCAAAGTTAATTAGGTAGTACTTACTTACTTGTACTTGAATAGGTCTCCTCCTAGTCGTTGGAGTGGCCTGCACCACATAGTAACTCCTTTCTCCGGTATATTAGACCTCTCCAGTGAACCCTGTCTGTAGCTTGTTGTTCTGCATCTTCTATTGTGATGTTATCGACACCTGTGAAGATTGCTGCCTCCTCCCGGACGCATGACAACCAGTTTTTCCGAGGTCTGCCTCTTGATCTTTTACCATGCTTTGGGATCCAGTGCAGAAGATATTTGGGTATTCTTTCTTCTGGCATCCTCACCACATGGCCAAACCATCGGAGCCTAGCTGCTCGTACGAAAGTATCAACAGGGGCGATGTTAGCCCGCTTAAGTACGTCAGCATTAGATACGTGATAAAACCATTTGATTTTCAGGATTCTTCTCAGACATCTATGATGGAACACCTCGAATCTTTTCATCTGCGTCTGAGTGGTATTCCATACCTCACTTCCATATAGCAGTATAGTGAGGACAGCTGCTTTGTATATCCTGATTTTAGTTGGTGTCTTGATGTTGCGACTGTACCATATACTGCTAAGCTGATAGAATGCCCCAGAGGCTTTTTGAATTCGAGCTGATAATTCTTTGTCAATTGTTCCATTCCCACTGATGATAGCACCCAAGTAAGTGAAACTGCTGACCTGCTGTATTGGGAGACCTTCCACACTGATGTCCATAGTGTCGTCTTTAGAATACGGCCTCTGCGAAGCACTTTTACTGACAACCATGCTCTGTGTTTTGCCAGCATTAATCTTCAAACCCGCATAGGCACTGTATTTGCAGAGAAGGTCAGTGGTTTCCTGCAGCCCTTCTTTTGAGTTATCTAACATGGCCATGTCATCAGCGTAATCAGTGTCCAAGAGATTTTTCTCTTCTACCCCGGGGGCTGGCAGCTGTAATAAAGCCCCCTTACTAATGACCTTGTTTAGTTCCATAAGGTATGCTGAAAAATTCAAACAAAAGTTGAAGACTGGTGGTCCCTGTATATCACCTTGCCCAGTTCCCGAGTTGACATCAAACCAACCTGTTACCTCTCCATTGACCCTAACAGCACTAACTGTGTGAGTAAAGAACGCCCTCATGATTCTAATGTACTTGTCAGGTAGGCCGTAGTGCTGCATACTTCTTCAAATGAACTGCCTGTCAATCGAATCAAAAGCTGCTTTGAAATCAACAAAATTAATATACAGAGGGATATTATACTCAATACATTGGTGTATAATACAGCGGAGTGAATAAACCTGGTCAATACATGAGCGATTCTGTCTAAAACCACTTTGATTCTCCCGGAGGAATTTTTCCATGCCAATGCTAAGTCTCCGCAGGAGTATCATCTGAAGGAGCTTCGAGGCTGTGGATCTTAATGTTATGCCTCTGTTGTTAGCGCAATGAGAGGTGTCATCCTTCTTTCCAACGATGATAATAACACCTTTGGACCAATCCTCAGGAATCTTCTCATCTTCCCACACTTTCTTGAACAACACAACTAGTTGATCAACCAGCCCATCCTGTCCATACTTAAGTTGCTCGTTGGTGATACCATCCACTCCTGGACTTTTGTGATTCTTGAGTTTTTTAAGGGCATCAACAATCTCGTTTCTTGTAGGAGCCTCATCCGAATCGGAAAGGTCGTCAAAACTGGGTTGCGGAGGGATGTTGCCTAGGTCAGAAATATTGGCCTCTTGTGGGGGAGGGTTCAATAGCCTAGAAAAGTGCTCTTTCCACCTTTCTTTTTGGGCATGTGGGTCGGCAATCAACTGGCCAGATACGTCTCTAACTGCAGTTGACTGCTTCTTCTTCTTTCCAGATATGACATTGATCTTCTGCCATACCTCACGTTGCTGGCCTTTTCTCGCAGCTTCTTCTAAGTCATCGGCCATTCTAAGTGCCCAGTTGTTATCGTCCACCTTGCTACTTTTTTTAAAGAGCTTATTCAATCTAGAATACTCTGACCTGTTAGCGTTCGAATTAGGGTCTTTACGCTTAAATTTCTTACGGTTCTTCAATAATTCTTTTGTCTTCTGAGATTGGTGCCTGTCCTTCTTTTTTCGAGGCCTTTGCCCAAGGACTTCCATGGACACTTGTGTGACAGTTGTTTTGAAGTTGTCCCACATTGATTCCAGGTCAGCCTCAGGTTCCAAACAGTCAAATTTGTTTCTCAGAACAATGTTGTATTCGGAAATAAGTGAATGATCACGCAAGTGCTCAATAGCAGGAATCTCGAGCTTACGTTCTTGCTTCTTTTTCACTGACATAAGCTTCATTCTTAGTCGTGCTCTTACCAAATAGTGATCAGACCCAATGTCAGCCCCCCAACAAACTTTTACATTAAGCAAAGAGCCTCCAAACTTCTTACTGATACAGATGTGGTCTATTTGGTTTACAGTACGACCATTAGGTGATCTCCACGTACCTTTATGTATATCCTTTTGCTGAAACATAGTGCCACCGATGGTAAGTTGGTGGGCGATGCAAAAGTCCAACAATCGGGTACCATTGTCATTTGATGAGCTGTGAAGCGAGTGTCCACCAATGACACCTGACATAGAACTGCAGTCCGATGTGACCTTAGCATTAAGATCACCGAGCAGTAATTTTAAATCATGTCGGGGTAGCTCGACATGATTTAAGGTAGACTGATTGGGTTTAAGATTATTTTCCCAAGCTACCCTGTCTAGAAAAAGTCCAAATTTGGTTCAGTTGTCCGGTAGCCCTCTCAAATCTGATTAACACCCACTCAAAAACAGATCGGATTTAATTGGTTTATAACATATCAGCCAATTACCTGACAGACTAAGCAACAAGAAGCAAAATAAGTTAAGTACAATACCAATATTATTATCGCAGAGTAATTCTAAGTATAATCCTCGATTCAGTATAATTAAGAAGTCTTTAAAAATACAGAATCTTTGTTGAGTAGATTGGGTTCTAGGAACAGATTTTAAACGGCTAGTCATGGGAAGATCGATATGACAGTCGATTAATTTGTAGTAATTATAAAATTCGATCGAAAAATATAACCACTTGGTGCAAATTTAGCACCTAGTAAATCCTTACGCCAAATGCCCTCATCCGTGGGGGTAACATAAGAATCAGGACGACTTATAACTCACAGCCTCGCTGTTATTAATTTAACGGGCTTTAAAAAGCAAAGTCAGTTCCTCATGCTCGGGACTGGTTTTCTTGAAAATTTAAAATCATGATAGTAAAAAATGCTTAATGTAATGTAATCGCTTAAAATGGATATAATGATCAGCTTGGACCCCTTTCGTAGAGTGTACTTTCCGGAGTATGGCTTGTAGTTTGTTCGTTATCCCTCTGCAATCTGGGAGCATTGTCTGATATAACACAAATTCCTTGAATCTCATGAAATCTATGGGTTTATAAGAATAGAGGGAATTAAAACCTTTTGTAAAATAGAAAAGAAAACTAACCACTAAGGTATCTGTCATGATACATACACCGTCCCCAGTAACCTGAAGTTTTCAAGTTGTTTTAGTTTTTACATTAAGTTTGTTATCATCTTTATTTTTGATCATACATCCGGATCCCGATGACACTGGACACTGTCGCGGTACTCTCTTGAAATTATTGAGACTGAGGGGAGCTGTTCTTCCTCAGACCAGGTGATCAATATCTTATGGTACAAAATGGATTGTAATGGTTGAATATTACCTGCACCAGCAAGGTGGAGAGCGAGACTCAAAGTTACGAAAAGTAACATAATGTAATGGATCGAAAATAGAATTAGAAATTAATTGATTTACCTTTTTATTTCTGTCGGTTTCCTAAGAACTGGAAGCACGGTTTGAGAAACTGTCTGTTTATCACCATTATAATGAGCTTTGAATTAACGAGAGTATAATAATGACTATAATAATGATGATGATTGACCGAATTTTCATAACGTTAATTTACCGCACTCACACTCATGAAATGTGACAAAGGAGTAAGCTCGAAAGAATCATGACGAAGTTAGAAAACCGAGTAATTTTCATTCAATTAATTTCGAACGGTTCAACGGAACATTAGCCAGCTACTGTGTCAGTAATGTGGACGATATATTGTGTAATATGTTATGCCAATGCCTATGTTAATGAGTATCAATGGCGCAATAAAAGAGAATTGATAATATAAGTGTTTTTATAGCGTTTAATTTAGATTCACGTGCTCTAGTTCGACACGCACTCTAGTTTGACAACTTAAGTTCGCCAGAAATTAAATCACCCCTGTCGAACTTCGGTACGTGTCGAACTAGAGTCCAGGTTGCACACTCTAGTTAGTCAAATAATTTCCCTACATATCATGAGTGTGAGTGCGGTAAACGATCGTGCCGAAAATTCTGAATTCGGTCAATCATAATCATTATCCTTTCATTAATACAAGACTGATGCAATGTTGATAAACAGACATTTTCTCAAACAGCACAGCAGCAGCATGTGCAGACACCACGGTTAAATAGGACACTGACAGAAAGTGCATTTATTAATTTCTAATTTTATTTTCGATCCCTTACATTATGTTACTTTTCGTAGCTTTGAGTCTCGCTCTCCACCTTGCTAATGCAGGTAATATTCAACCCATACAATTCATTTTGATTTTTGTACCATAAGATATTGATCACCTGGTCTGAAGAAGAACAGTTCCCCTCAGTCTGTTCAAGAGAGTGCCACGACAGTGCCATAGGCATCCGAATGTATGACCAAAAATAAAGATGATAACAAACTTAATGTACTACAACTTGAAAACTTCAGGTTACTGGGGACGGTGTATGTATCGTGACAAATACCTAAGTGGTTACAGTGATATCACTATCGGAACGGCCTGGTTCGATACTCTATACGATGCAGAGTCCGAGTGTCCCAGACGACCTGGTTAGTTTTATTTTCTATTTTACAGAAGGTTTTAATTCCCTCCCAGAGCTAATCTCAGAAACCCATAGATTTCATGAGATTTAAGAATTTCGTGCAATATGAGAATATCCCAGATTGCGGAGGGATAACGTACGAGACTTACTCCAATAAGTACACTCTACGAAAGGGGTCCGAGCTGAAAGCTAGTCCATCAAACGAAATTTCATGGAAAATGAATCCCTATATACAGTATAATGGCAAGTATCTCAGTGGTTACAGTAACGGACAAGCCAAGTTCGATACTCTCTCTGATGCTGTAGCTCAATGTCCCCAACGATCCGGTTAGTTATATTTTTCCTTTTTACTAAACGTTTCACTTTCCTCCCAGAGCCTTTTTTAGAAAGTTAAAGCTTTTATAAGATGATTCGGTGTAATATCAGAAAATGCTCCCAGATTGCGGAGGTATAACGTACGAGACATACTCCGGAAAGTACACTCTACGAAAGGGATCTGAGCTGAAACCTAGTCCAGCCAACGCAATTTCGTGGAAAATGACTCCCTGTGAGCATGGGGGTAAACTTATGGCATGGGGGTGATTCGGACTCTTACATTCATACAAATTAATAACTATAGATTGTAGTATGCTGAAATGTCAACAACTGTAAATTCAAGGAATTAAAATTTTCAATTTACAATACACAAATTATTATTTTGCAGAATATATTAGTATATTGAATTACTATAAATAGTAAATACTGCAAGTTTTCATTGTCTGCATTTTATTCTTTTTAACACCTGTTTGATAGTTTTCTTCAAAAGTTGCAATTAATGTCATGAATAGAAATAAATAAATAAAATTTAACAAGAATTGCGCCGGTTAGCGGACGCTAGATTTCCATCGACCGTAATTAATTACAATTAACGATCGTTTCATATTGGTTAAATTACCAAATTTCTTTGGGGCGTTACAGAGAACAAAATGGAGGGGTTGCCGTTGTCAATTATTTGAATCGAAAGTTAAACGACCGGGCACCGTAGCGCAGCCTGTGCGGTGATATGCATGATGCAGTTAAAAGGACATCTGTCCGACAGCGACTCTTGTCCGACTCAATATGTTACCAGAAAAAAAAGACATCTGTCCGAAATTGTGATCTAATTGCAATACGACACATTTCCATTTTCCAATTAGAGACATGATCTGAACTGAGATATGACCAGAGCCGAACTCTACCATAGTTTATTTTCATTTGATGTCAAAAATTGGACAATAGTTTAAATGTTATATAAATAACTGATCTCCATACCGCTCTCCTGTGTGTAATGTAGGCTGTGATGTGATTGGCAGCTTGTTACAGCTTGTTAGTGTACGGCTAGCATGATCCTGTCCTCAAATAGTCAATCACGTATCGATGGATCAGATCTCAATTATGCATCAAATCAGCATTATATTAGTCGACTGTGGAAGCAACGTCACAAGATTACACGTGAGCTTGTGAAATACAAAAGTGATCCGAAATTACAAATGTGATCCGAAAGTTGGACAGATGTCGCCAAAAACGACTCCTAATCAAAATGTATAATAGCGAAGAGAGATACACATGCGCGACGTACACGATTTATTAGCTCGATTCTTGGTATAGAGTACACCTTGACATAAAAGCATTGTAAAATGCGCGCGCGACCATCACATCATAATTTGTAAAGGAGCACGTGTTTGCGGAGGTTAATGCATGTTTTGCTTTGTGACACGACGAAAAACATATACCCACTATACCCATTCTCAAATCCTACCACTTCTAACCATCTATTGCCTTTTTAGGCGATGGAAAAAATCAGCTAATATATATAACTCCTCCGCGGGAAAGCGTTGGCCGTTGTATCCGTATGGCATGGGGGTGATTCGGACTCTTACATTCATAAAATTAATAACTATAGGTTGTAGTTTGCTAGAATGTCAACTAACTGTAAATTCTTGGTATTACAATTTTCAATTTACAATAGAAAAATTATTATTTTGCAGTCCTTGTTCTGTCAAAAGTGATAGTTTTTCCGATACGAGCAATTATTACAATTATTAATACTACACCTTTGATTTTCAAACGAGTTTGTTAGCACAAACATTTGCAGTTTCTCAGCAATTGAAAATCAAACTCTATGTGTGCACGTGGATTGGTTCTCTGTCATGACTCTTTATATTAAGCTAAAGCTGGGTAATAAACCTCCGTTAAAGGCTGCTCACTTCACTGCTTAGTGCTTTTCATCTATAATCTATTGTTTTACGTTTATATCAGAGAGGATGGTGTTCCCGGAGAGAGTAGTCTTGCTAATTTGGGAAGGTACCTTCCTCAACAGCACTTGCTTTATCTTGCTGGATCTCAGGACGTATATGAGCGGGTTAACAGCTGAGATTAGCGTGTTGGCAAATGGGAAGGTCAGGAAAAATAGGTAGTTCATCAAGATAAGCTCATGAGGGAACTTATGTTGGACAACCAGTGATGTTATGATCAAAATGAACTGCATACCGATGAGAATGTTGAGATAAGCTATCGTCAAAGCAGCTTCTTTTCCTCCTCGTTTCTTGCCATTTTCTCCTGTAGTTCTTAACTTGTCTGCTCCCTTCAGTCCCCAGACGCTCAAAGCAGCTGAACTGAGAGATACCACCATGTTTCCCCCAGCTTTAACATAACCAACGATGCGGGCAGCTGAGACCGTGGATCCATTGAGAGACCTCTTACCGTATATCTGAAGAGAGTGTGAGCTCCAAACGTGATCACTGTCACTGAAGTACATAGCTAGAGAAATACTCATTGAAAACATGCCTAGACCAACAGCGATGCTCAACACCAGGACTTTTTTGATCCGGAAGAAGGGGAAGTGGATTACGATGCATCTTACAGTTCCGAGAATAGCCGTCAGAGAAAAAGACCAGCAGAACATTGTTCCCTTGATCATCGAATAGTAGATCTGCCAGGAATGGGGTTCTTCCGGCTTTGCCAGGTCATATGGTTTCTGAAGAAAATAATGTTACGAATTGTTCCTTAAGGTTGACACACTTGTGTAAATAGAAAATAGATAAATAATAAAAAGATCATCTTAGATATATTTGATGATGCAAAATTTGTAATACTTTTTAATGTTGTGTAGATGCATGAGCAATACGTAAATTAGAACAAAATTTACCTCAGCTACCAAGTAGTACACCATGACTGGAGCCACCAGAACACATGTTAGAAAATCATTCGCAGTTAGGATCTGAAACAGGACGGCTGGAGTATTCTGTTTCATTCTTCGGTGGTACCAAAACACGATGGGATTACAAACGCTGGAAACAATAAACAGAGCTAGGATCAAAACCACGAAAACACGGTCGAGAACTTTGTCGACGGAGGTTGCTTTGTAGATTTCTGTGCCGTTCCACAAAATGTCTTCCCCGAATATTGCCATCACGTACACGATCTAGTAAAACATAATAGTGTTACCATTTACCAAGTCTCACGTTTGCGGTCTGAACAACACGTGTATCATTACAAGTGAAGCGGTACGTTGCTGTAATCGTCCACATGGTATCTCAACGAATAAATTTAAAGATTAGCGGCTGTGATGAAGTTGGGAGGGGATGATAAATGTTTTAACGAGAGATCTCTCGCCTAATGGCAAGGAACAGCTAAATTTGCTGACGTACATTAATAAGATTATTGAGGTATAGTTTCATTTTCGTTGCAACGATAAATTTGTATTTAATTAGCATGGTACCTGAATGGAGCCATGTGCTGCACTTGCGCAACAAACTAGCAAAAGAGAAAATCAGACTAGGGAGTAAATGTAAATTTCCAACACTCAACATTGGCTTAGAATATTTTACTTTTGGCGAAAATTTATAATGTGGAAGGTGATAACAAGTTCTCAATTAGCTGGGCTATGGAGAGTCCCCTACAGTCTACTCAACAGTATTGCTATGGAGAGTCCCCTACAGTCTACTCAACAGTATTGCTCATTACTCGACAGTATTGGACTCCAATCGGTTGCTTTTCAGTCGGTGCCAGTGAATCCCACATACCGGTTACCTCATACGAAGAAGTAGTTGTCGGTCACCCAGAAGAAGATATGAATAGTGTCCTACATATTAGCCAGTAATTGTGGAATGGTATACAGATAGTCTTCGGCATTCGACAATACTTTACGAATGTAAAAGATCAAAAAATACTATTTATTGCAAACATTGTTATGCGTGGAGGGGGATATTTAAAACATATAAGTGATACGAAAGATTGTATTAGCAGGAGCTTTCAAAATACTTATGCGGTTGGCTTTCCAATTTTATTTTCTGACCTGATATATATTATGTCAATATGGGGACAATAAATGAAACATTTTTCACTTATAGATTATTTAAATCTCTATTCAGGGATAATGTTAACTAAACTGGCCGATTATAACTGGAAGGATTATAACTGGAAGGATTATAACTGGAAGGATTTAGCATTTTCATCGATAGAAGCACAAATTCACGAGAAATACCCTATCATAGTGGAGGATGTTTACTCGGGCACACATTTAAATCGTAATTATTTATTTCATTGATAATCCACAGTTATAGCGTTTTGAAAAAATTCGTGATGATTACAGTCTAAAAATGAAAGAAAACAATAAACATGCTATCAAACATGAAGAGTAGTGATCAGTAGTGATCGATCTAGCCGAAATATTCGAATCATGTGCTGAGAACGGATCGTACAATGGGGAGAGATCAGACCAACTTATATAAAGAGGACCGTCCGGATGACTGTTTGGGCCAGAGAATATGTGGAAATGGGGTGAAAGAATGTGAGTCATCAAGACAGACTATACTATTTAAGACAGACGATACTATTTAAGTTATAATAGGGAGGGATCCTACGGAGTTAAGAGAACTGATCATGATGAAGAGTTGGGATTGATCGGTCATTGGACTAAAGAACCGCATCGTTTAAAATGTGAGGGACAGAGGGTGGGGATTTGGTAATGATAATACTTGAATACTTGAATACTGAGCCCGGTCAGTAGCAGAAATATAATCAGGGAATGATTGATTGGGGACTGGTCCGTAGTACCAGCCAATGTTTACTCAAAAAGTATATATATAATTGTAATAACAATGTCGACAGCATTCAGGGGGACGTAACAAAAACTAAAAAAGGTGGATGGGAAGCATGTAAAATAGTCGGACGGACTGGAAAAGAGAAAGGAAAGGCTGAGCCATAAAGAGTCGTTAAGTAAATTTTAATCATGAAAAAGTCGGTTATGCCACACAATACAAAATATTTTACCCCAGATCTGAGTCATGCATTCATTATTACGATGGCTTAATTCTATTTTTACATATCCTATGCCAGCTTAATTTGCGATGAGCAATGTCACTATCCTAAAACTCTAATCCAGGTCGGCAGGTCGTTATCTGTTACCATATCAACCAGCGATGACGTCACAAGTTTGTAATATTTAATACAATATCACTTCAAAATGAAACACTATGTTTGTGCATCTGTATTATAGTGCACCCCAGGTATTTAAAGTTGATGGTAATAACTACTTAGGTTGGAAAGCTAAATGCTCATAATATTAATATTCGATCAGCCAAAAGCAATGGCTGAAAATGTTACTGTTAGGTTAAACGAACAACAAGCCTAAATAAAGATAAAAAGAAATAGTTAGCACCTAATTAATTGTATACAATAGAAAATGTCTTACTTATCAGAACCTGTATCGACCTTTAAAAGTTTTAATTATATTTATAATAACCGCAACGTAGACAGGTTAATTGCAGATTAATCGAGCAAATTACAGTAAAACGATAACTATTACAGCTCTACTGTCATGTGTCTGACGTCTGTCACCAGCAGCTGTTTAATCTATAATAATAATAATGGTTTCCAATGTTTTAATATTAGCGGTACTGTAGGTTATGATGAACCTAAACAACGCCTCCCAACATCTCCAGAACTGCTGTACGAGTGGTCGCAACAGATCTGATTAGAAGAAGCGCTAGAAGAAGGGTCGGACAGCGGGACAGGAGTCACTGTCGGACAGGAGTCGTGTTACCGACTGAACTCACCTGTACTGGCCCTTCTTCGACCTGGAGAGGATGTTTCTTCATTCACAAACCAAACAGTCCCAAGACCCGAACTTGTCCCAAAGTAATAGTGGAAAGGTTATAGCCCTGTTAGATGATGGGTGCCATCGCTTTCGTACGTTATGGAAACGTCCGCGGTACGTGGCTGTCGAGCTGAAACCCACTCTTCCTGTGTAGATGGAGTCCTTTGTAGAGCACTAGGAGAGGACCGAAATCGGCAAAGACTCTACCGTTTTATCCCCTGGGGCCTGGAATTTAGATGTGGAATCAGCATTTGCTGGCCTCCCTAGATACTCTAACATCGCGGAAAGATGACACAACGGGTTTCAGCTTCTCATGGGCTACACGTGTCCTACAATCTAGCGCTTCACCGATCATGTCCTCAAAAAGGAGCAATACCTGAGAGTCGATACACTTGAAGATAAACCAGAAGATGATGCTACGGCCAGAATATCCCGTTCTTCCAGTCGAAGTTCAGTACGTGTTAAACTAGAGTCCAGGTAGAGCACTAACTTGGACTTTTCGAACAACAGTACATGAATTTTTTGACGTTCAGAAATCTTAATTTCAGGAAAGCCTCAAACTCATGACTAGTTTCTTGTTAGTCCTAGTCTACCATAACTCCAATCGGTCAGGGATTACAAAAATGACACAAAATACAAATGAGCAGTGCTTTAATTTCTCATGAAAACACAACAGACTTGACTTAGAAACGTGCAATTACAGGCGTCTGACGTCTGCTTTACCGACAGTATTATTTAATTATTATTGAGGAATGGACAATACAATCAATAAGTGAAACAATGAGTTGGTTTTACGGCACAGACATATACAAAACATATTATAGCCAAAAGGTTAAGTAGCAAATTCATACTGAATACTGATACATGGAGCTTATATCTTATTATTAACATTTGAATCAATGACAATGATAAAAGACTAAAGGCGATAGCTAGGCTTTTCAAGTTTCAACATATTTATGTTTCAAAAGTCTGCAAGATTTTGAACTGTCTATTTCTTGTAACATGGACACTACACGTTCAATCCTTATTTGAGTGTGAATAAATGCTTATCAAAATGTATATCAGAAATCTCGGCTCAAATGCGCCATTGGATTCGAATTCTATTCCAGTATTTATGGACGGCGCTGGAGTGAACGCCCATTCTTAGATACTGCTCTACTAGTATGTTGGAGACAAAGTCATTATTAATATTAATTATTATATCTAACTGTGCTGTATAATAATACAGTTCACATCAAGACCTCTCTATAAGATATCCCAAAATAAGGGGTATTATATGAGTGGGTACTGGGTATAACTATAAGAGTGATATCATAGTCATACTTGATGGGGTGAACGAGTGGCAGTTGGCTAGATTGTACTGAAGAGAGCGGGATAGGAGGTCCTCGGTGAAGGCTTGAGGAAAAGTCTTCAAGTAAGAGTACTTTAAAAGTAATAAATACAAAAGATATAAGGGAACCTCTTATTTTCGGGATGTCGAGGGGAGGTGCCACTTTGAGGACACTTTGACGTATTGCTTTTGACAAATTGCCTGTACGTTTGTATGCATTACTCGGTTTTCTAATTCTCATGATTGTTGTGAATTTAGTCCCCCATCGCATATCATGAGTGTGAGTGCGGTAAACGATCGTGAGGGAAATTCGGTCAATCATAATCATTATCCTCTCATTAATACAAGACTAATGATGTTGATAAACAGACACTTTCTCAATCTGCGCTTCTTAAATAGGACACTGACAGAAAGAATGCATCTATCAATTTCTGATTTTATTTTCGAACGATTACATTATGTTACTTTTCGTAGCTTTGAGTCTCGCTCTCCATCTTGCTAATGCAGGTAATATTTAACCCTTACGATCCATTGTTGTACCATAAGATTTTCATCGCCTGGCCTGATATGAGGGAGAACAGTTCCCCTCGGTCTCAATTTGAAGGAGCTTACCACTCTTTCTTCAATGGAATTATTGGGATCCACTGCTTGCAAATCATAGAAATAATATGCACCTGTAATCGAATATAAATTAAAGTAGCTAATATAATTTATTACTCATCACTGAATTAACCTTTCAGATCTCAAGTTGAATGTGATCTGTGATGATCAGATGACACTCTGGATTAACGGAGTCCAGACAGACGTTGCCGGACAGGGAGCCTGGAACCAAATGTCCACTATCAGTTTAGGACCAGCTGGAGCTACGAATGTGATCGGGATCAAATGTTTAAACACAGGAGGACCATACGGGATCATGGGCTCCGTCGAAGATGAGTCAGGGAACAATGTTCTCGTTACTGACAACTCTTGGAGCTGCTCAAATGCTGCTGATGCTGGCTGGGAACAGGCAGGCTTTGTAGAGGGAGACAACTGGAACGCAGCATCTTACTACCCCCACCGCGTCTACATCACCAATAACGGACCATGGGCCGCCGCAATGTCAGCCAACAAACAAATCATCTGGACTGCTAGCGCCGCAGATACCACTGTTTACTGCCGAAAAGTAATTTCAGGATGCAGTAAGTATGCCAATTTAAAAAATCATTTCTCAGAAATTTCAGTTTCAGAACATGACTACGACCATGATTCTATGATTGCTTGAAATTGATAATAAAAAATAATAACAAACTTCATATACTACTATTTGAAAACTGCAGGTAACTCAAACTGGGGACAGTATAATGGCAAATACCTAAGTGGTTACAGTGCCGGAGTGGCCAAGTACGATACTGTCTCTGCTGCAGTGGCTGAGTGCCCCAAACGACCTGGTTAGTTTCATTTCCCTTTTGCTTAACGTTTTGGCTTCCCAGAAATCCAAAGTTTTCATGATATTTAATGATTCTGTGTAATATGAGAGAATGCTTCCAGATTGCGGAGGTATAACGTACGAGCCATACTCTGGAAAGTACACTCTAAGAAAGGGGTCCGAGCTGAAAGCTAGTCCATCCAAAGAAATTTCATGGAAAATTAATCCCTGTGAGTACTGAGTATGAATTTTAGAGTGTATTTTTAATTGCTATTTACGGTACAATTTACCGGAGATGAACATCTATAAACGCACTTCTGTGAGTGTACCTATGTCAGTGTAGCTATATAAGAATTATTAATCTACCCCCTTTCTCAGATGCTGCTGGTTTTGCTAGTGCAGTGCTGGTCCAAGACAAGGGTTGTTGGAAGGACACCGCATCCAGAGCCATCATGCCAGTAGAGAAACAGTTCCCTGCTCTCCAAGACAATTACTGGACCCGAGCTGAACCGCTGGGAAAGTGTCTCGCAGCCACCATGTGTTTGGGAAACAATGTCTTCTCTCTTCAGAACGGAGGATGGTGTGCTACAACCGGGGATGCTCAGGACACTTACCAGAAGTTCGGAGCTAGTGACGCTTGCAAACCTGATGGACAGGGTGGCCCCTGGGGTAACCAGGTTTACAAGGTCAACTCCGCTGTTTCGGGTTAGTTTCTTTAATTACTTCTACGAATTTCAAATTTTTAAAATTTTAAAACATCAGAACTATGAATGAGTGACTCTGAAATTTACACACCGAAACAGCTTCAGATCTATCGTTGAATGTGATCTGTGATGATCAGATGTTACTCTGGGTTGATGGTGTTCAGACAAACGTTGCCGGACAGGGAGCCTGGAACCAGATGTCTTCTCTCAAAATTCCTGATACCACTCAGGTGATCGGTATCAAATGTTTAAACACAGGAGGACCTTATGGGATCATGGGATCCATCCAAGATGCGGCTGGTAACGATGTTGCCGTTACTGACAACTCTTGGAGCTGCTCAAATGCTGCTGATGATGGCTGGGAAAAGGCAGACTTTGTAGAGGGAGACAACTGGAACGCAGCATCTTACTACCCCCACCGCGTCTACATCACCAATAACGGACCATGGGCCGCCGCAATGTCAGCAAATAAACAAATCATCTGGACTGCTAGCGCCGCAGATACCAATGTTTACTGCCGAAAAGTAATCCAAAAACCAGGTAACTATGAACTCTGCCTGGTACCTTTCCATTACCTGTCAGGTGTGAAGGTTGTGTTCCTCTTGCACGCGGTCGTATCCTATCTAAGGAAAACCAATTAATATAATTTTTAGCTTTGATACAATCTGTTCATTAATCATCGCAGAAACAATTTAACTTAACACCGTCCTCAGCGATCGTGTCAGTGAATGTAGAGAGTCTGGGGTGCTGGAGGGACACGGCTGTCAGAGCCATAGCTACAATTGAGGGCTCAGTCTCATCTCTTACTGGTTCGTACATTAGCAGAGCTAACGCCTTCGACAAGTGCCTCAAAGCCACCCTCGCCCTCGGAAACAAGGTATAACTATAATATTGATCATCTAATTGTTCTAAAGTCAGTTTTCGGGTCAAAATCGCAGTTATCATGAATAACATTTCATTGTCTTCAATCGCGAGATAATAAAAGGCCATTTAATTATTGGCATTCATTAAGGAATCAGAACATGTCTCTGCCAGATTTCATACTATTTCAAATTCAACAGGTATTCGCCCTACAACACGGAGGTTGGTGTGCCACGGCAGCTAACGCAGGAGACACGTACAAAAAGTACGGTCCAAGCAGTTCATGTGCTGATGATGGCCAGGGTGGACCTTGGGGAAACCAGGTCTACAAGATCAACTGTTAGAGGGGAAGGTAAGTTAAAATGCTGAAATCTTAAATGTTGTTCCTCAGCCTTCTATATGTAAGCTGATACTTATAACGTTAGTTTCAAAATCGAGCAAATGCGCTGTTGCATGTTCATCATTATTTAATTTACCCCAACAGATTAATTTGAGATTAATTATGTGATACTGATTAACTGTTCTAATTATGTTCCTCGTTTCAGGAATGCCGATAGAACAGACCGGTCACAGGGACTGGAAATGGAGTGCGAAAAGAAAAGAAACAAAGAAGATACGAGATGCAAGATTATCGATTACGAGACTATAAGGGTTTCATGTCTAACGATTTTCCATCTTTTATTTTTCGAAAGTTTTGTAGGCGAATGGTAATTTTTGATAAAACTGCTAAAATTTTCAAATACTTTAATCGTTGGATGATCATAATCCTCAAACTATTAAAGTATTTGAAATGTTTAGCAGTTCATCAAAAATGATTGATTCGTTTAAAGGGATCACAATGTTTTAATTTTCAAAAATGATACATATAAATGATACTCAAGTTTGATACCAGTTCAATTATTGCTCCATGTAATTGTATATATCAGATGGGTTGCTATAATATATTTACCCACATTTTTTTTCGTAAAGCTTTTTTTCAAGCACAATCTGTTTTCCTTTTCTCAGCGCTAAACTAAGCTTTAGAGAATGCGGATTTAAACCGATTCCAGTGAGAACTTAATATCCAATACCTATAAGTATAACCAAGGCGATATCGGATATAAAACAAATATTAAATATACGACGATAAATTTTCGATTTTCAGAAAACAAAAGTTACCATAGTCACAGAAACTGTACAGATAATACTCAAAAGTTTCAAAAGAAATGATTTTGTGCGCTGAGTATGGCCGAATCAACATGTTGGTGAACTTTCATGCTAATTCCTTTATCTAATCTGCATGACGAATGACGATGAGTTAGACTTAGAATGCCTCTCATCTTTGAATCAATGTTTAAAACACAAGAATGAGATATAATGGCAATGCGACAGTATCCATGAATAAGATTACAATGATAGAAGTGGTCATAATATGCAGTGGTACTTACATGACAATCGAGATCAAATGTCGACGAAGTGCTTAATGCAAGACGAAAAACAGATTTCCTAACAACAACGTATTATGATAGCCTGAACGTTCCAATAAAGGCCTAAGGTCTTGGGATGAAAATATTTATAAATATTTTCATATAAATATACTCTGCCCTATTCTCATCCATGACCTTACAAATGTCATGATATAATTTTAATACAATTTCATTTAGCTTTGTTACGTTTTAAGTTAGGTTTCGTTTACACAGACAGAGTTTTTTCGTACATTTATTTCAAATGGAATTCTATCTATGTTCTTTGCAACCTTCAAACCGGTTGTTAGGGTGAAGACTGAAGTTCAACAAGGTGTTACTGTTAAGAAGGTTTTAACCTCAGAACCATGTCACTTGTATTGTAACTGTGGATAACGTTAATTTTGATGTTGCATTTAGCTTCAACTTTTTATTGCTGAACAGGAATATTCATTTGGTAGACTCCAGAAACAGCTCATACAGTAATTTAATGGTTAAAATTAAATGCGAGGAAATCCAAAAGAATTATTTCAATGCCATCAGTTCTTCATCTTATTTTGACTGGATCATATTAATGCGTTAAACTTATAATAAGTACTGGCTACTTCAGTACGTTTAATTAAATATGCAAGCCACGGACTACAATTTTGTGGTTGCACATCCTGATTGGATCCATTTGTACAATATAATACATTACTTTTCAGTCCTCAAAAGGAGACGTAGGTACTGCTCAGAGAACAGATCAGGTGTAGATGGGTCAATTTCCTGTCAAAGCATTCCATCTCACACGTTACCCTAGTTGGCAGGTCTATTGTAGTCCCCCTCACCAGGAAACTAATATGTCACCCCTTCTCACTCTCCCGCTCTGCATGTGCTACTACTTGTGGGGCCCCTTCACGCCACCCTACTAATCTGGGGGCGGGAAGTCGGTTTGATCTGTTTTTCTCTGATTCCACCTCTTGAAATCTGGGTGTTCGCCTCTAATCAGTATTTTACACTTTGCATCCGATCATCGGCATGTGGTTTGGTGATGCATGTGTTCTGCTCTTAATCACAAGGGGTGCTGCGAGGGATTACTAATTAGAAGGTCCCCCGAGGGCACCACCGCGCTGCTCTCTCTCCCTCCCTCAACATAAAGTGAGCTGGTGACGCGTTACTTGCCATCTCACTAGATGGGTTTGAGTTGACAGGTATATTGCGGTCCATCCTTATTGGGGAGATCCTATACTTGCTGCTGATTAGTTTTAGTGTCCTAGATCTCAAAGGCAGGTGTAGTGTTTCGTCGATAGAGTTAAATTTTTTGATAAGTACAACTCATAGTCATGGAGCATAGTATTTCGACGAATTGCATTAATTATGGTTCTGCGGAACGGATATTATTATTTCTAATATATTCCCTTACGTCTCTTTGTCATTATTTCCCTGTCCTCGAAATAGACGTCAACGTCTGCACTAATCGATCATCAGCTTTAGTTTTATGCGATCGACTTTGACTTTGCCTATTAAAATAATTTTTACTTTGTACTGTGCTTAGTTTTGAAAAATCTGTTCTATTGAGTGAAATGGACGTTTTTAGCCTAGGAGCATCCTGATAATGAAATGAATAAATTGTCTGGTAGGTTAAACTTAACTATTTGAAAGATCAAAAGCACCCTTCGACTCCTTTTTTATATTGTACGACAAACGTGCAAAGTCGAAAGCTAATTCATCTGTTAAGCTCTTTTTAAGGCCGTCCAATTTTCATATCGATTTATCTTTGGCCTAATACTAATAGCAGCATTTCTTAAACTTCTTCAAATAAGTTGTGAGCCTTGTATTTGTTTCAGAAACCACTTATATTTCGAATATAGAATTAAATTTCCAATGTATCCTTTCTTCTTAGAAAAGCTTATCAAATAAACATTTTGAATTCATTCCACATCGCATAGCTAGGATCGACATAATATTTGATGAATTTGATTTATTGAAGTTCCCTTCATTGTATGCTTTATGATTTTTTTTCACCATCCTGCGTTAAGTCTGAAGCAGGGTTCTTTCATGAAACAATCATTATAAAACCTTTAAAACTGACTCACAGATCTTTCCTTCAGTAAGATGTACATACCAGTAACAAAGAGTTGTGCGGTGCGAGGAGCAGGATGTCCCGGGGACTACAAGCGGAACAATGCTACAGCAAACATGCTCTTAGATATGGGCGACGACAAGCTCCAGTCCGCTATCCAGAAACAGGTACTTTCACAGTTCAGTGTTTATGTTTTAACCTCAGTTTACATATTTAAGTGTTTGGTGTTTAAGTTTGGAATAATCTGTTTTATATTGAATAGTTTGACATATTTGTTGGCCCCAAGGCCCAAGCTGAATTTGAAAGCACTTTAGTTACACATTTCGTTTGCTCTTCTAAATCTGAATAACAAAGGTCAAAGGTGTTATTCCGGTCTGAAACTTTTGGGCGAATTATAAGATAGTAACCACTGTAACAACTAACCTGGGTCATCTTGTACCAATCACGTACAACTACAAAGACATGTTAATTGTTCCCAATTACGCAGTGCTCATTGTTCACAACTTGCCAAAACAACCAATCTGGCAGTTTGACAATCCATGTTTACCACATGCTCTTTACAATGGGAGGAGGACTGTATCAGTGCCATTGTGTGCCCTGACTACATTGTAGTCCAGGCCACAGCTCGTCAGCTGCACAACAATGGACCTGCCCTACAGATCTAAGGCATGTTAAAACAATACAACCAGCTACTTGGCTACAAACTAGCTACAGGGCTGCGCTGTAGTAACTTCTAGCTAATAACTGATACAGTGCTACTTAGCATTAGATCCCCAGTCTGCATGTTTTTATGGATACTTTTAGTTAAAACCTTTGGCTCAGGTCTGAAGTTTGTATAAAATTTCATCTGGTTAAAGTTACAAATTGTCGTGGTCAAGGAAAGTTTACCAGTAAGAATTAGAACTTTGCCCAAAATCCTTACACCGTTTTATCTACACCCGGAAAATATTTGCATTGATATTTTGTGCCACTAGAAATGAATGAGCGGGCCGAATAAAGATTTTTTGAGATTGAGCTGCTAATGGATTTTAATGGCATCGTCTGCTTTGTCCACTGGGGACAAGAGAGGCAGTTTGCATGTAAAGAAATTAATAAGTAGGTTACTTACACGCCAATAAATAGTGAATACCCTTAGGCAATGGAAGCAAGCATAAAGTCAAACATTAAGATGTATCTCTTAGAACCTTCGTAACTTGAGCTTGGTTATGGTGTAAAGTGAGGTCATACCGGTTTAATAATTAAATTTACTTGATTCGCCGTTTAAGTTTATCTGGTACTTATACTCATGTAGTATAGACCATAGGGCGGGAATGTATCGCTAAATCCGGTAGCTTTTGTGTAGATCGTACAAGTTACTCGCACTTTTAGTAAGTAATAAGACCTGCTGTAAAACAATATCAGTTTCAACTGACTTTGAAGATTATGTCACCTAGTATAAGAATTACCCATGAAGTTCCCACTTTGATATTTGTTCCAACAGATAAGCCACAGAAGAACGACCCACAAGCTGTCCGAGCAGAGAAGAAGGAAGATATTGAACAGCAGATTTGAAGATTTGAGAGAAATAGTGCCAGCATGTAGAGACAGTTCCCATACCAAACAAACCATCCTCAGTAAAGGTAAGCTGCTTTCCAAACTTATGAAATGTTTTGAGCCAGGATTTTCTTGGCAGACATGATTTACTATATTACTATTTCCCATTCGCTCTCGTTCATTTCTATACATTTTGTTCATACCAAAAATCAGCCCCTTTATCTCTAAATTATCGCAATTTCTTATAAATTGAAAGTTTTCCGAACTAACATCTGTTCGTGCTACAGCACTGCAGTACATAGACCAGATCATGAAGAATCTCACGTGTCAAGAGGATACTATGATGGTGATGAGTAAGGAACGAGAGAGACAGGCGGACCTTTTGAGGGAACACCAGATGTGGCAGAGAAAGATCGAGTATTTGAGGTATGAACTTTTCTTCTTTCTTATTCACTTAAGTTATGATTACAATATTATAGTAGCCGGAACCCCAAAGGCAAATCTGGGCAAGATGTCAATTTGAGCAGATTTCCCCGGAAATCGAGGATCCCAGTAAACCAGGGTTTTAATTTACTCATTAACATAATTAACATAGTTATGTTATGTTTACTTTTGGACGGTCTAGCTTTTGTGGATCTCAGAAAATCCCGGTTAAAGGAAATCCCGGTGAATCAGGGATCGTGCCAATAAATCAGGGATGGGATATCGTGCAATCAATAGTAGTAATTTTGATATTGGAATTTTGCAACACCCTTCTTGAGTTTAACTCGTGCACCGTCTGTCCAGATCAATTTATCTCCAATTATCGTACTTGACAGTCATCCAAACAAAACACTGAAGAGTTAATTAATTTCCAGAGACCTGTGTAAACTCTAGATCTTGCTCACGCCGCGGATTTGTTGACAAATCAAGTCACAATCGGCCATTGTGAGAAAGGTGCTAATATACAAGTGACCAAGAGTCCGCCCCACGTTTTAACAAAAGATACTTCCTCTCTAATGGGCCTGACAGGCACATGCCACACAGCACATGTGCTAAAATTACCGGCCCCCAAAATTCTTGTAAAATCAAGAGCGGATCGGGCCCGATTTAATTAGGGTGTCCACTCTGTAGCAAGTATCCATGTGAAGATCCGAGAATATAAAATCTGGTAACGTGGCCGCCCCAGGGGTCGCCCGGTGCCAATTAAAGGGAGCCTGATTGATCACATGCCCAGGTGTCATGCGGCCAAGTCGGCTACAAGAGCTGCAAAGCACCTTCTTAAATTGACACTACATCAATATTAACGAAAACACAATTAACATTACACTCTTGAGTAGAAAAATGGGGAAAATGTTCACGTTTTTCCGTACAGTATCGTTACGCAGTATTAGGGAGATCAGAGTACAAAGTAATTCAATGTTGCTGACTCAAGAGTAAGGCCAGATGTTTAAGTGATATATTGTCCATTCAAATTGTTATTACTTATTGGGTAAAATCTGATGTAACACGTTATGAACATAAGATCGAGTAGGTACAACCCAAGCTAGTCTTTCGCATCTTTAGCTACCAATACCAACCAATACCAACAATTTCAGGATGAATCAGACAACACGAACGATGCATCATTTCAACATGATGGTACCTAACATGAACCAGATGAACATGCCTAAAATACCCACAGAAGCAATGTGAAAAACTGAGAGATCACATATTCTAATACAGATAAATCCAGCTCGCAGTGCAGCAATCAGATGAACGAAGTACCTTCTTAAATGACCAAGGACCAGATATGATCAGGCATGATGGACTTTGAAAAATTCACACTATTAAAGAAAAGTATAGGTTGTGACCTTGACTGTTTACATTGATAAAGAATGTGTTCAGTAATGTTTGAAGTGATTTATATTTGTGGAAACATTCACCAAATGATGTCATAGCAAATTATGATTAAATCTAATTCAGTTCACTCTCCTAAATCGATCATGCCTATAACATCTCCGATTATTGCATGCATGTACTTTCTTTAGTACATAAGATTATAAGCGGACAATTAATAATAATATAAACCAGTCATTATTCAGACATCCTATGCGGTTTAGCCATCATTGCTTTAGGGGTCAATCGAACAATGATCTCGATGCTAATATTTTGCACCGATAAGTTCACAGCTAGCTTTGACTCTCCATTTTACTTCAATCGTGAAATGTAAAATTAGATTTTGGAGGATATTAGAGGTATTGGTAATAATATTTGTGATATTTATATTAACAATTCTGATATTTGATGATAACTAAAAATTGAATATTTACTACTATATCAATACAGTAGAACACCGGAATGCCTAACGGTATTGCTCTCGTGAAAATTCTTACACCATAATAAATGTCTTGAAATTTAGATCGTCAGAATAAGATTCCAGAGGCCCCACATAAATTTCTTTATAATTCATCTGGCTACTGTACCGAACAGTATTTCAGGGTTTAACTGTGTCTCTGTTACTACAAAATACAAATAAAACACGCTCATTATGGTAAGGGGGCTAATCCACAATTAATCTTAAAAATCAAATCAAAAAAGAAATGTACAATACATTTTACTTAAAGAGTATATATTAACTATAACATAATCTAAACAAAATTGTACTATGTGTCGTATCCACAAAGCTGAAAGAAGAAATTCATGTCTACGAATCCACAACCATACAAATCAAGAGATATCTGTGAATAGAAGGTACATTAAGATAACAATTTGTCAAAGCAATGAAAACTGAGCAAATTGAATGCAAGTTAAAGACTGGGTTATCCTTTAATTAATTAATTAATTAATTGTCCTAAATGGTTGAAAAACATTTATATTCGGCAACCCAATTGTTCCAGGTTTCTCTAAATTCCCAACAAATGAATGCTAAATTGAAAAGAAAGGCATTATGCAGTATGCACGCGTATCAAAATAAAAATCAGCAGTTCACTAGTCACTACTCTACCAACATGGTGATCAAGAGGCAACACAAGTCCGCCCGAAGGATTCTGGTTAAACGAATAGAGTCATGCACGAGTTCCTATTTGGGGCCAGTGTAAGGCGGATACTGCCCGGGAGGGTATTGGCTGGGCGGGTATTGCCCGGGTGGGTACTGGGCTCCGGCGTTTTGACCTGGTGGGTATTGTGGCCGGGTGTTTTGCCCTGGTGGGTATTGCCCAGGTGGGTACTGAGCAGCGGGAGGGTAGTTTCCGTAAGCAGCAGCAGCAGGTCCAGGGTAAGTGTAGTAACCACCGTATGCTGGCATACCGTACGGCATGTTGTACGACGGCTGGTAACCTACACCTGGGAGATATTATCTGTTTACTATTATAATTATATAGTGTGGGATTTGGGGTATCTTGTGAGATATTTAGTAAGTAATTTCATGATGAAACCAGCTTTAGTTAAAGATAATGTGCTTGGGTGTATCCCAAATTGTGATTAGTTAAACAGCTGATGAATGACAGTGCTGGATAGTATTCGTTACCTCCGCTTGGCAGTGTACCACCGTAGTTGTACTGTTGGGGTGCGCCCTGAGCAGCGAGGGGTGGTGCTTGGGGGGCGGGTGCTTGCCCCATTGGGGAGGCAGTGGCTTGGGGGAGCGGGGCTGGTGCAGCTGAAACAATAAATACATAATAACACTTACACTTTACAGTGCAATGATTCAGTCCAGAAGCAACATTAAAGTGCGGAAAACTTATGCGAAAAGTGCGATTCCGCACCCGCCACGCTTTAATATGTTGACTCTGATAAATCAGCTTAAAATTTGAAAAGGTAAATAAATTCTTTTTAAAATATTTGTCTAGGGCTGTATATTATTTTACATGCCACATGCACTGTTGGCACAATCAAATTATACGCGTCTTTACTGACAGTGGGGGGGGGGGGGGGGGGGGGTGTAACCCAAAAAAACCCAAAAAAACCCAATCCCAGTATTACCTTTTTCAGGGTAGGAGTTGGGTTTTTTTGGGTTTTTTTACAAATTTTTCATTTGAAGGAAATAAAATCATGTAGGCACCTAGCAAAACAATTATCAGTACAATATCACTGTTGTGGTTCATCACTACAACATTACAATAGATATAATCGCTTAAATATCACCCAAAAGCAGTATTTTATTCACTGATGTGCTCAGAAGAAGTTGGCCATCCAGATATGATTACATTACAGAAACCATGCTCTATCTCCAACTGAAAGAATCTTGCAGTTACCATCAGCTGCATGATCACATGTGATATTAAGTGATATCTTCGCTTGTTTATGGCCCTGGAGCCGCTAAAATCTTGACTGGGATGGCATTCGATCTCGCCCTCCATTGAGGCAAACCTCAACAGCCGTATCATGATGCAGAGCATCACCATACACAGTTACTATTTTCGCCCATTCCTCTGATGAGTCAATATCCTCCACTTCCTCTTCTTCATCATCTGTTTCCGCTTCGTCACTCTCTGCTCCGTCAGAAGATGGTTGGAAAGCCTCTCCTTCAAAGTTACAGTGTTCTTGAAGGAGTTCTCTACCCCTTGAGACTCCCTTATTCATAGCTTGTAACAATCTTGGGATTGAAGTATCTTTACCTCTAAATAGTTTCTCTGCTTTCGGATGCGGTATAACAAGCTTGTTGCGAGAGTGGGCAACTGTTACAGGGATCAAACTTTTGCCGAGTGCATCAAGCTCGAGGGAACGGTTTGATTTGCCCATGCCAACCAACATATCCTTAGAACACAGATTAGTTATAATGCCTGCATGGAGGCCTATGCGCAGGAAAGCATAAAGTTTGCTCGCAGGCATCGGATGTAAACAGCCAGGGCATAAAGTGTTGATAACTGTTGTCAGCTGTTACACTGAGAATGTACAGCATCAGACCCTCGACTGTAATAATCGCATCATCAAAATTTTTACAAGTAGGCAGGTGGTCTTTCAATGGTTGTGTGAAGCTTAGGTGGCCCAAGGCGTCACCGCTGGATAGAAGCTGGGTGGAAGCCCTGGTGACTGGTCTGATGTGAAGCTCCCAGAACTTTGAAAAGGGGTATCCTGCTGGTGCCCTCTTCCAGACACTCATCGGACAGCATGATGAAAGCCACTACCTCCGCGTGGTGAAGACTGGATACTGGACAGGGGGTCCAGGCTAAAGGCAGGACGGTCGACGGGAGCCCCGGAAGTTCAATAATTTGATCTATCGACTCCTTAACTTTTGGTCTACAAGAGGCTTTGAGACTCGTAAATCGTTACTGTGGATTGCACAGTAGCTAAAGAGGTGTTGGCTGTTACCCTGTTCAACCTAGTCTACTATGACCCAGCTAGACTGGACCACACTCTGGTAGTCAGGATACGGCTCCCTATGCCCGGGGTACCGGGTAACGAGGTAGTCAGGGGAAGGGTTAGTCCCCGCTAAAGTGTGGCTCTGTTCTCACTCTAACCTCCTTATGCTTTGGGATAAAATCGGACAGTCCCACACTTGAGCAGGTGACGATTGGGTAAGGATTACAACTGATGCTGTTGGGTAGAAAAAGGAAGTGTCACATTTGTCTTGTATAGCATATGTTCGTGCAATTACATGCTCAAGATATCCAAGATATTATGGTGAGAGTTAAAGATGGCTATTGTTCAAGCGGATGCCCTTAACCTTTTAGTGGCGCAAGAGTTAAGAACACAATCCACTGCCAATGTGCAGGGGACTGCACAGGATTGTGAGCCAACTGAAAAGTCAAGATGAAGTATATCAACAGCTTAAGGGTTAAAGCCTCTTATTTTACTAGTGGAAGTGGTTGCCGGGGTAATAACGCTGCTATTACAGAAGCTGATGACTCGGTCTCCACAACACGACAGCCTATTTCTACAGAAAGTCAAACAAGAAAACAAACAAAAAAATATGAACATCAATTGTATTGTATCATGTAAAAGGACTGCTAAGGTTAGCACATTTAACATAAGAACAGCCAGAGAACAGCACAAATGCATCGAACTTGCAGAACTATTTTCTCGAAGCAAGCTGCACATCCTTGGCCTGCAAGAACATCATGTAGTGCATTCTGAGCCTACCAGGATAGAAAAGATGAACAAAGGGAATCATCTAGTGACCTCATCTGCGTGGAGAAACGCAGCTGGCGCTTCTAATGGGAGAGTAGGAATCATCTTGACGAGGACAGCATATGAGGCTATTTAAGTCTTATAAAATCTTACAGCGCAAGGATCCTCACCATGTCTTTCAATGGAAAGCGCAGGCTCACTGTCATCACATGATACAGTCATACAGAAGCCTCATCTGATGAGGAGCTGCAGAAAATCTCTTTTGTCTAAAACCAAGCATCTTACTGTTAATTTAGTAGAAGAGGAGCCACACACAATAACTTCTAAGGACGGACATGCCTTAGAGGAAGTTGAGGATTTTTTCTACCTAGGAGCCTGGACAAGTACAACAGAGCACGCCTTTAGGGTACGCAAGGCCAAGGCATGGGCTGCCTACCACAAAATGAAGGCTATATGGAGGTCCAATTTGCGCAGAGATTTAAAGATCCGTCTGTTTCAAGGCTACAGTTGAATCAATCTTCCTGTATGGAACGGAAACGTGGACAATGACAGAATCTTTGAAAAGAATAGACGGATGTTACAGTAGAATGCTTTGGATGGCCCTAAACGTGGACTGGAGAGAACATCGCACCAACAAAGAGGTCTTTGGATCACTCCCAAGAGTTAGTTCGAAGATACAGGCCAAAAGAATGAGGTTTGCTGGGCACATCCAGAGATCCAGCGATATGATGACCTGGCAGTACACCAACTTCTCCTTCGGGAACCTAGCCATGGGACCAGAGGGAGGGGCAGACCACCGCTCACCTTCGTCGATAACCTAATAAGTGACACCGTACTCAAGAACACTGGGGAGATTAAGGAGCTTATGGCGGACAGAAAGCTTTGGAGACACATCATTGAGACTCGGACTCTGAAGCTGCCTTGAGTCAAGTAATTTAAGTCATGTGCTTTGACCTTCGTCATAGCCTCTTTCAATGACATGGACAGGAGAACACATTTGCCACATTTGGCACATTTCCACTTTCTGCATTCATATGGATTATATTTTGATGAACTAGACATCCTGTTTGCTATCGTGATAACATACTGTTAATATAAAGACACTTATATAAACTATCTATTAAGTTAAGACATGAGAACAACAGGTAGGTAAGACCCAGTGGGAATAATTCACATTTAATACAACAAATGAAATGGCTAGAATTTTGTTAAAATTTTGTTTAAAAAACCCAAAAAACCCAAAAAAACCCAATCCCAGTATTACCTTTTCTTGGGTAGGAGTTGGGTTTTTTTGGGTTACACCCCCCCCCCCCCCCCCCCCGACAGTCATAAGGAATGCGGGGCCAATTGTAAGTTATAACCGCCATCAGTGCATAGCTAGGTACGTTACTTATCAAACATCACTTGACCATATTTTTCAGAACAATATTTTGAAATGAAATGAAATGAATGAATTAACATCAATGTATTACAATTACATTTACAAAAGACCAAAATATCTACAATGAGGCAACAGTATGAGTTATGAATGATTTATGGATGATTAAAAGGTTCAATCGATTTTACAACACAAACAATCATGTATCAAGGCCGGGTGTTATGTCCTGGTGGGTGTTGCCCTGGTGGGTATTGTCCTGGTGGGTGTTGCCCTGGTGGGTATTGTCCTGGTGGGTGTTGTCCTGGTGGGTTCGGTGCAGTGGGAGGATAGTTTCCGTATTCAGCAGGTTGAGGGTAAGTGTAGTAACCACTGTATGCTGGCATACCGTACGGCATGCTGTAGGACGGCTGGTAACCTACACATGTATTACAATTACAATTTATACAAGACAAAATATCTACAATGAGGAACAGCATGATCATGAGTTATGAATGAGTTATGAATGATCAAAAGGTTCACTTGATTTTACAACACAATCAATCATATCAAGAAATTATATCGATATCATTCCATCATGCTGAATGCTGATTATAAAATTATCATAGTAGCTTATAGAAAAATAATATCTAGATACTGATTGCTCAAGCTACGTTTGATTTATAGAGATCAAAATAGAATCGACGCTGGCAACTCAAAAGGATTTTTAGGTGCAAATTTTAAGATTGATGCAAGCGATTAAAGATGACGAAAGTAAGGCAGATGAGGGTTGATAATCATACCAGGAGTTGGCCTAGGAGCGGGTGTGGAGTACACTGGAGATGAGGGAGCTGCAGCTGCAGGAGGGGCTGCTGCCGCCGCTGTAAATCATTGTTCAATTTGTGAAGATGCTTGTCGTATGTTATTGGATATTAATAGAAAGTCTTAGTGTGAAATTAGTGTAGAAGTGAAATCTAAAATAATATGGATTGTTAGTCGGAATTCCAGAGACCTATAATTTACCAAAGTGACTTCTTGCTTCAAATCAGCCACGTTACAGATCAGTAAAGTTGTTACACGAGGTTACAATATTATTCTTGGTTCTTACTATTTCATTTATTTCCAGTAAAATGGGGTCTTCATTCGAGAAATACTGGCAGTAAAAACTGGGGTATATTGAATCTAAGATAAAGCGAATTCGTCCTTAAATAGTAAATATCATCAAGAAATGCAATCACCACAGCACACAGATATTTAAAGCTGTCACTTACAAGATTGGGCAGCTTGTTGGTGGAATTGAGGAGGATCTGGTCTGGTCGGTGGAGCTTTGTTAGCCAGACTTCCTTGTAAGCTCCTACGCAGATTAAAACAGTTATGAGAATATATTAAGTGTTTTGGTTGCTGGTTCAGGGGGGGGTCCACGTTAAAAAAAGTTTAAAAAGTTAAATTAATTAATGTTAAATTTCAAAATTCAGGCTTAGAAAGTTTAACTTTTTTAACATAAATTCAAATTTGGGTTGAAATTGCAATGGAGTGAATATTCTAGACTAGTTTACTTTTAGGTCATGCGTTGGTATTTTTGTTCATTAGTCATTACATGTAGGAAAATCTATCAGTTCCTGAATTTCGAGAGAAGGTTAAAACCTTTATGGAAGTGAAACTTCTGGAAAAGAATCAATATGTTAAAGATTTGGTGACCAAGCATGATAGAACATTTAAAGTTGTGTATGTCAATTATGGAAGAGACTACACTACTGTTGGGATTAAAGTGTCTCCTGAGATAAGGCATTTCCTGTTAAACAATCAGTCCATTTACATAGGAAATTCCAGATGTAAAGTAGTTGATAGATTTGATCTTAAGCAGTGCTTCCGATGTCAGAAACTGGGACACATTTCATGCAAGGAAACTGATGTTATTTGTATGTATTGTAGTGCATCACACATAACCCGGGCTTGTCCCTACAAAGAGGTCAGAAGAAGTCACAGATGCACCAACTGCTCACACTCCACTTATGAATCATACAGAGAATCTTGTAACACCCATCACTCTGGTGCTGAAAACTGTCCCATAATAATGCTGGAGAAAGAGAGTCTTCGACAAAGAACAGAGTACTCAAAAAACATGTAAAGACTACGCTTCTCAACCTAAATGTCGGACTGTTTAACGCGAGGTCACTTGCACTATGTAATAAAACTGCACAAGTATTTGAGCAACTGTCTGACTCCAATATCAATGCCTGTTTCCTGACAGAAACTTGGCTACGTAAGGGAGATACGTCAAAAATAGCGGAAATTAAAGACCTAGGTTATAATATTGTTCACCAATCTAGAGCTGGTAGAGGAGGTGGTGTCGCTATTGCCTTTAAGAAAGATCTTAGCTTCAATAAACGTCCTACAAAGACCCATAAATCCTTCGAACATGTTGAGTGTGTGCTGAAGTCAAGTTCCAATGACCTTCTTCGTTTCTGCTGTGTCTATCGATCTTGTACGGCTAAAATGTCCAAAATGACAGACTTTTTACGGGAATTTGATGAATATCTTGACAGTCTAACTCACCTTCCAGGTAGACTGATCATTGCTGGAGACTTCAATATCCATGTCGAAGACCTCACTGATCCTGATACGATAAATTTTATCCATCTCATATCAAACTATGGCCTCATCCAGCATATTTCCAGTTCAACACACATTGGGGGTGGAATCTTATTGACTGCAACTCTGCCACAGAACTCTATAACAAAGAACTTCGCAGAATTCTTGATAAACATGCTCCCCTTATCTGTTTTAGCATTAATCCTGATCAAAGCAAGTGGGTGGACACAAAATGTCAAACTGCCAGAAGGAAACGAAGAAAAGCTGAATTTGACAACCGGAGACTACAAACTGCAGATTCAAAATTGGACTATAAAAAAGCTGTTAAGCATGCTGAGGCAGTTATAAACACCACTAGACAGCTATACTATGAACATCGTCTGCAAAGCTGTGAGGACAATAAAAAAGATACCTACAAAATGGTTAATCAGCTGATGGATCGGGACATATCTAAAAACTTAAAGCCTAATAACAAACCTGCTTTTAAACTCTATGTGAGGAGATGAAAGAGTTTTTCAATGATAAAGTGGAAAAGATTTACTCTGCCATTAACAATGATACTGCAGCTGACATTCTACTTGACCACTCAGAACCATTTCAAGGTGAAGCCTGGAGCCAATTTAAAACCATAAGCGACAATGATCTCAAAAAGATTCTTTCTGACCTTAACAAAAAAGAATGTGAAGAGGACCCCATCCCTCTAAAACTTCTAATGCAGTGTTTTAATGAAGTTAAACCAATTGAGTCATTTATTATCAATGACTCACTTGTCACTGGAAAATTTCCGTCAGTCCTAAAGAGTGCTCTTGTCAGACCAGCCATCAAAGATGATAAAGGAGATGTCAATAGCTTCAACAACTATAGACCGATTAGTAACTTACCTTTCCTCTCGAAACTCATTGAAAAGAGTGTCCAGAAACAGATGACCAAACATCTTGACTATCACAATCTTCATGCTGAGCATCAAAGTGGTTATAGGTCAAATCATAGCTGCGAAACTGCAACCCTTACCATCTACAATGATCTTCTTTGTATCAGTGACATGAAAAGCAAGGTTATCCTCCTCCTTTTGGACCTCAGTGCTGCTTTTGATACTGTAAATCATCACTTGCTCCTAAAAAAACTAAAAAAGGATTTTGGTTTTGAAGGTACTGTTCTCGAATGGTTTACATCATACCTTAATAACAGATCCTTCACAGTAACTATTGATAAATGAAGATCAAAGAGATGCTTCCTTAGAATTGGAGTCCCGCAAGGTTCAATCCTAGGTCCAATTCTGTTTATACTTTACACAAAGGAGCTCAACCAGATCGCAAAGAGACATGGATTTAACATCCACATGTACGCAGATGACACTCAACTGTACATTGAGTTTAACCCACTATTTCGAGATCTGTCAACAATCGAAGAGAGAATAACAAATTGTTTTGAAGATATTAAGACCTGGATGACCCAAAATAAACTCAAACTGAACCAAAACAAAACAGAAGCTCTTGTAGTACAGACCAAGAACAGTTACTCTTCATGTCCAGTCGATTCAATACAGTTTGACAATGCAGCTGACCCTGTGGATGCATCCCGCACAGTGAAAAGTTTAGGTGTCCTATTTGATCAATTCCTAACATTTGAAGATCAAATAAATTCAATTATCAGTTACTGCAACATCCATCTGAGGAACCTTCGAGTTATAGGCTCAAAGCTTAACTATGATCTAAAAAGACAGCTCATTCACTGCTTGATCTTTTCAAAACTAGACTACTGCAATGGACTAGATTATACAGTTTACCCGATCTTCTCATAAAGAAACTCCAGAAGGTACAAAATTCCTGTGTTCGATTCTTGTTTGGTTGGAAAGCTATCAAAAAATGGGACTGTGTCACTCCATTCCTGAAAAAAGCCCATTTTCTTCCAATACGACAACGAATAGAGTATAAGATTGCTCTAACCGTGTTCAATTGGGTCAACAACATAGCGCCGGAGTATATCACCAAATGTATTGACATCAAGAGTCAACCTGTACGTGTACTAAGAACTGAAGAAGACTATTTCCTCCTAAATGTTCCCCCTATTTCAAACTATGGTAAAACCGAGAGAAGATTCAGCTACTGCGGACCCTCTGTTTGGAATCAGCTTCCTTATCAATTGAGAACACTAACCGATATCGTCTTATTTAAAAAGAAACTAAAAACTCATCTCTTTGAAAACGTATTTGTATAAGTATCATGTAAACTACCTTTCTCATAAAATCCATACTTCATAAAAATAAGTTCTTATGTACATGTTACTCATGAGTCGCTTTAGATGGTTTGAACTGAATCTTTGGGTTTTGAGTTCTTTATGGCTATAAAGCGATGTATAAATTCCTATTATTTATTATTATTATAAAAGTATCAATACAATTTGTGTTTCCTGACGAGGAGGGCCAGGGGATGTTATTTTCGTGGATTCTAACATTCTCCCTTCACGATATTAGCTACTCCTCTAATAAGGATCCGTTTGGCTGCATGCAGGATAGTCAGCCGATGACATTTGTCAAATATTTCCAACTTGTTCAGGTCACTTTCCTGAACACACTGGAGATTACTGGACTGGGTGATCCAAATCCCGCCTCTTCCAACTGTTCCGTGTAACATTCCAGACCATATCGTGACAGCCACCCTTCTAATGAGTATTGGTCGGGCTGCGAGCCATTTCCTTGGGTCCCGACTGAAGTCTGACTGTAATGTTCATCCCCCAAATACTCTGCCCACTCCTTCCCAGTTTCTGAAGTCCCGTTATACTTGGCATCAATAGCATTCGCTACTACCTGTAATCTGTCCCGCAATTCCAACCCATTGACCACTACTGCAACTGTGTACTTGTGGTTGGCCGACAATTGCTCTTTCCTATTATATGAATGATTATATTAGTAAATTATACAATTATGTGTATATATAGATACAAGGTGTTTTTTTTGTATGAGTTATCAAATCAGTTACAACTACAGAAAACAATTGCAAGAGCGAGGTACTACTAGTACTAAAGGTCAACACTCATAATTGAGTTTAATTTGGGTAATTATGTTAAAATTTGAACCGATTAGTCAGCCAAAATCTGATTTTTAATTTATGTTAAAAAAGTTAAAAAAGTTAAAGTAATTAATGTTAAATTCCAAGATCTCGATCTTAGAATTTAACTTTTTTAACGTGGACCCCCCCCCCTGGTTCAAGCTTTAACATCGAGTTAAATTATGAAATCAATCATCAAAAGTTTATTTTACAACTGAGTATCATAAATTTGACCAAGAAGGCTTACTTCATAAGATCCTCTTTTTCGGTGTTTCTAGCCAAAATGAAGTCGTTGACATTACTCTGATAAGTAGTGAGAATCTTGGTCAAGTTGTTGTAGAATTTGGTACCCTCAGCTAAATTGCTCATCAACTCGATGAAAGCATCATAACCCTGGGCCAGTTCGCTCATCATTTCAGATCTAGGGTCTGAAGTAGCGCCGGTCTTCGATTGTACGAACTCGTCGTTAGCACACTAGAAATGGAGGGTTATTTCAGGGAAGTGGAAGATTTGATTTGTCTAAAAAGATAGATTTGAATAGGAAATGTACTTTGAGATCGTTCAGACAGTGGAACGATGTGAGAGGAAACTAACCGTAATCTTTGCGATGAGTTCGTCCTGCTGCCTGACACTGTCCACCACTGCTGCCTGTTGAGGTCCGTATGTTTTTTCTAAGTGTTCCGTGCTCAGTCCTTCATCATTGAACAGATTCGACTCCGTATTCAGCTGTGAAAACTTCTCGACTGAAAATAGTTTACGTAGTAACAAAATTACTACTAAATAATTGATGAAGATTCCCTACAAATATCAAATATCAATGCAGATTGCAAGACAATAAACTCTCACGAAGGCTGCCGATATCGATACTCTACAAAAAGACGGTCATAAAATAGCAGTCTTACTTATTTCTTCAGTGTCACCACCAGCTTTAAACTTCTGTTCAAGTGCGTCCCGCTCTCCTTTCAAAAGCTTGATCTGATCCATAAACGATTTGAGGGACGCTACTGCCTGAAAGATTTGACTGTAATCACTAACAGTTATACAGAAGAAGCCTGCATTTACATTGCCACGTAACGAAATCAGAAGTGATGAAAATCTCTGATTCCAGAATAAACTTACCTTCTGCCCCTGTCCGGATAAGGATTGAGCTCCTCCTACTGGTATACTGTCAATCAGTGTGCTCTGAAGAAGGATTAATTACTGACACCGAATGGAACTCTACAGCCAAAATTGTAATTTATTGGAAGAGCAAAGTTACTACCACCTTCTGTGGATGAATCAGGAACCAAGAGATTTGGTGGGGAAATATTTATTATATATTTTTGCACACAGTGCGATGATATTTTGTAGACATGTGTGATGATGTGATGTCATAAATTTTACTTTACTTTACTTTACTTTCGATCCTGATATGCTCCACATCAGTTATCTTTTTGATACGATATCTCCTATCCAAAGAGTCGATAGACTCATGTTGGAAGTGAGTTTAGAAGTTTTGTAACGTTTACTAGTGAAACTAAGTACAAATGCCAACGAGCACGTGGTACATGTTCTACTTGTATGGAATCAGCGGCTACGTAATCTGGCAATCCCATCTTTATAAATGAGCCCACCTTTTCGATTGAGTTCTCAGTGCTGATATAATTAAAATAAGAGCGGCCATCGTTGTGTCGATCTCATGAACGAAGGCAAGAAGTATGGAAAACGATCGAATCACAAACAACAAGGTCTACGGAGCGGCTGCAAGAAGATAATTTCACAATACTAAGTTCCCATTCGTCGTTCGCGCGCGCCGTCAATGCTCGAGCTTTTCAATTTCGTTTTTGTTTTCAATACCAGTCGTTGCTTATATTGATTGTGATGTCACGGTTTGTACGTGATGAACTAAAGATAATTAAATTATTTTCAGGTTAGATAATAGATTACCTCGTCCTTCGACAGAATGTCAATAGCTCTGATGTTTGTCTCGAACTTTTCTCGAACAATCTTATCAGCATTACGGGCATTCGTTAATATACTCTGAAGTAAGGAATCGGGTTACGGTGATCTCATAGCTAAATGACGTAACTTGGGGACAATTATACGCATATCAAAAGAAGTTACGTAACGCTTATGAAGCATGATCAAACTCAACCTAAACGTATAACTGTTTATCGATCTTAACAAGCAAATGAATAATTTCCTGAAAACTCCAGAGAGGAAAAATTGAGGAAAAGTTGACCAAACAAAATACCTGATATTTATCTCCCTGGTCTTTAAAACTCTTGGTCAAGTCTTCACTTTTAGTTCGGTTCCATTTTGCACCAAACGTCCCACGAAGATGTTTGTCGGAAGCTTCTTCGGCATTCAACTCTTTCAGTGTCTCGGCTATGAATGACAAGTATAGAAAATAGAGCATTTATAACGTATTTTGAAAACTTTTTAAATTGTTCACGATTACAGGAGTGTTCCAATTAGTTGTTCACAAACAAAGTAACTTACTAATAATTTCCTCGTTTCGCTGCAAAAGCTGAGGCAGTTCATCAAATGATTGTCGTAGAGACATGAGGCCACCTTTAGTTCTTACGTCACCGGACTTTTCGATAAGAGAAACAGGAATTTCTTTACCACCGAGATCCTCTATTGCAGCTGGCAGATTCATTTGATTCATTGCACTGAAAGTTTCGTAAGTAAGTTCACCTAGCAAACCTTCTTTGGAATAAAGTCGCTTACAATCCCTAGTATGACAGGTTGAACGGTTATTTGGCAACTCGGGGGCTCCAAACATCCCCCTACAAGAAATAACAACACTCATATCTAGACAGAATGAGCACAAAAATCATCTTACTTGTTGAGCTGATTAGTTGCCTCCCTCAGCTTAGTAATCTCCAAGTGTATGAGGTGATCTTTTCTGCTGGCGTACATTGTGGCGGCTTGTTGTACGTTCAGAGGCACCAGCTTGTTGAACACGTCCGACCACCCCTCAACTGAGAAAACATTAGTTCGTTAATTAACATGTTTTTTAAATGGTCAGAAATAAATTTGCGAAACAAGATTAAATTAAATTCAAACACGCCACATTTTTCATAACATCTTAATTTTTGTGTTGAATACCACATCATCCCAACCTCTGCACAACTTGTAAAAATAAACGGAAAATATTTAATGCCTACGTTCGGTTGCTACAGGGGTAGGTTTAGCGACAGGAGCTCGTCCTACAGCCGGCAGGTCGGATATGTTGGGCACTCGCTCGTGATAAATAAATTCGTTATCTTTCTTTGCTGCTGCTTGAGCTCGGTCCACTTTGGATAGGATATCCTGAAGGAAAAATAAAAGTTCAATCTTCTTTTATTGCTGATTGAATAGAAAAATACCAATTTTGCAGATGTGGTTTTATCAATCAATGTCGTCTGTATTGATATAGCGGAACTAAATCAGGCACCCTTGCTCCTTCACTGTAGTTTAAAATTTGAAAATTCAATTGCATAATGATAAAAATAAAAGTGTGTGATGTCTGTTGTGGATGTACATTGTATGTACAAGCTTACATGATACTGCGTCATGTGTAAACATCATGAACAGTTCAGCACACATTACGTTAATCTGTATACAAACAAATGCAATTAAATCATGATTAAATTGATTGATTTATCGTTAACACTGCACAGATAGTTTTCTCTTAAAAAAAGATCAAAGAATTTTCAAGTAAACTTGCTGAGTGTAATCTGAAAACAGTGTGAACATTTTTCACATACCTTTCCTGTGACCTTAGGCCTTATTCCAACCTATAACCAACTTTGTTACTGAACTCGCATGATTCATCAAACTACGTCACGTAAATTTTGGATACTAAAAGGGTGATTCCAACAAAGTCACACCTATTCCTTACCAGAAAATACATTTTACTTAACACCCTGTTAATGGACTTCAAAATCAAACTTTAAATAAAACAAATTAACAATTTCAACAGTATCACTGAGCTAAATGTTACAATTTCAACATGCAGAAAACCTTCGATCTGAAGGTTAAATGCACGTAAAGTGGAGAATGTTATCTGAGTTCGTCATTTGACAACAAGTCGTTTCGTTATTCGTTACAGTCTACAAATTTGACAAAAGAATATGATAACTGCTATCATTCTTCTGATAACATTCCTAAACCGCCCCGTTTTAGGGGAACGTTTTTGGGAACGCGCACACAAGGGGAAATATGTTCACTTTAATATCGACAATAAACCACTTGAACTGGAAACTTCAGTACCGCCCAGTAAAGATGGTCACGTGAATCTACACTTTAGTGACGACAATAACCGTGATAGTGAAGGCGCAGTGATACACATTCTTTACAACAAGTAGCCCCATTTGGAATATTTTATTGTTTCCTGATGTTTAAAAATATGATATTAGATTGTGAGATACAGTTTTTGCTACAATCAATCCCTTCGTAATATATAATAATACATACTGTACCTTCTGGTTCGAGGATTCTGTCGTCAAAATTTGAAAATTCAAATATTTTAGAATACGCCCATTCAAAATTAAAACACCTATATTGTTCTCTCTGAACATGCTGGACGCCTGATTTTTTCAGAGACGGTAGATTATTTAATTTTGCATCTGATCCGAAAAAATGACGTGAAACGGATTAGAAATGACGACGTTATCAAGCATTTTGTGTATCTCGTTAACAAAATTGACTGGGTGATTATGTGACACCGTGACACGACACCTTAATTGGGCAGCCTTAACGATTCCCATAATGTTTAATGGGGTGGTAAACGGGGTGATCTTATCACGTGATCAGGTAAGCCAATCACCTGATCACATGTAATGAATAAACTCGTTATGCAATATGCTTCGTATCTCGGTCATCTGAGAAGCTCTAGTACTCTAATTTTTTTCAGGACAAACGTAATTCGAATGGCCAAACAGAATTAAATAAAATTTAGCTCGATCCGACTATCCAAATTATCAAATAAATGCAAAAATGAACCTTCATTTGAAAACAATTAACTCGAATATTTTTGATTTGACAAATTCCTCGAACCAGTGGTGGTAGTAAGTCGTACCAGAAAGAATTATTTCAATCGGTCACTCAGTGACTGAGCTATTAAGGCCAACGTATGCCCACTGACTTTTGGCCCATCCTGTATATATAATATATATATATATATATACATGTTATTTTACATGTTATTTTACAGCTATTTTACACGTTATTTTACAGCTATATGTGGGATATCTACAAAACCTGTCATAACAGGTCACTTTAAAGCTTTAATATATAATTCGACTTATTCAAAAGCTCCTTTTCAGGTTCGTAATAGGAAGCTGTGAACTCGAAAATGCCTATACTGCTTACACGGAATTCCCTAAGAAATGGGCAATAGTTAAAACCTACGACAAACTACAGATATACTGCGAGGGCAAAGCTGTCGTAACAGTGTCTAAGTATACAGCGAGTCAGGAGTGTCGGGACAAATGGTGGCCGGCTGGCAAGACCTTGAAATGGCTTAAAATAGGGGATAGGGACACAGTAACAAGAAGATACAGATCTCTGAGAGATTCCATGTGCCCTCCGACCCATCAGTTTGTGTTTAGTTCAGGTGACTACTGTTGTAACTCAGAAACAACTACTGCTCTAGATCAGAAACAATCTGATCAGACTGGGATAACAAGTAAGGCTAAAATGCGTGAAGTGGGATTGCCAGCTTGCGAATACGGACAGTTACAGTATCACAACCCTAAGTCGTGCTGTGGAGAGGGTAACTTTATTCAATGTAAGGAGTCACCCTGCATGGACTACGTTTATCAAGACCGTTTGGAAACACAGGAAATCCGCGACTGTAGAGACCGCAAGTACGACCCATATGGTGTGAAGTTTAGAGGAGATTGGAATAAAGATGGCGAGTGTGTTGAGTGGAGGGAAACTTCAGTCAGTCAGGGTGATCCCTTTGACCAGGAAATGGGACTGAATTCCAACAACTGCAGAAACCCCGATCAAGATAACAAAGGACCATGGTGTTTTGTAAGGGACAAGAGTTCGAGCCAACTGCAAAAAGAAATTTGCTATGTGCCTTATTGTGATTTTGGTTCCGTTACTGCCAGTGATGCTCCTCGTACCACTGCAGAACCTACAGAAGATGTAATAATAATAATGATTGAATCGGAGGGACAAGAAGAGAAAGGAACAGAGGGAGAGAAAGAAAAGGAAGATGAGGAAGAAAAGGAAGATGAGGAAGAAAAGGAAGATGAGGAAGAAAAGGAAGATGAGGAAGAAAAGGAAGATGAGGAAGAAAAGGAAGATGAGGGAGAAAGAGCTCTGCGGTTGTTCCATCCTTATCTCACCTCAGTGTACACATTAGGCTACCACGGTGCAGAGGACGCTATTGATGGCAACTTCGATACTTTTGCCCACTCTGATGAGGTTTTCAGCTCATTTGAGGCATCGCTCTCACTTGATATGGATCATGATTTCTTCGTGCACAAAGTTATTGTTTACACTCACTCTGCATTTCAAGACAGGATATGGCACAGTATGTACTATCAAAACGGGTTGGATGTTTCGTTACGGAACACTGACCCGGAGAACATACCGGATGTGTATTGCTCAATCGAACCATACGTTCTCAGATTGGAAAAGTACGAATTCACATGCGATAATAAGATACCTGTTAAGAAAGTGTCTATTACAAACAAATTTGGTGATCAGTATGCGGTGGTAATGAGAGAGGTGGAAGTATACGGGTCCCCGTACAGTCTGGACCTGGATCCTAGCGTTGAACAAAAAAGCTCAATGTACTTGCAAATGGAGGAGGAACCATTGATACTAGTGGACCCAGTATTTTCGACGACCAAGCCGGCCGGTGATTCTACAAGCAGAAAACTTAGACTGGACCAATCGTTGAAGTTGAATATAGAAATGGACTTGAAAACAAAGATTGTACGGAAGATCTCAGTGAAGCAGGCACACCAAGAGCAGTTACAAGCGAGGTCTGATGAACTCTAAGCCTTCAAAACTCTTGAGGTTTTCTTAAGTTTCAACCAATGCTATCATGGACAAAGTGCATATTAAATTATATTGATTAGATAAGATTGTTCGATAAAAATTTAGTTGAGAGTCAGTTCTTTTAAAGAAAGAAATTCACATACTTATCAAATATCGTAACCATAATAATAATATAGTTATTCAGTAATAATAACGAATGCAAGGCCCTCCTTAAGTTTAAAGGTCGATTATTCATACACGACCTGGATAAGGGAGTATTGTTATATTATGCTAAAATGCCCATTTTTGTTAAAATATTTGTTTAATCGTACCTTGAATGAGTGTATCATTTTTTTTCAGTATAATATTTTGTCGCTACTGATGTTTTCGAGAGGTAAATAGCAAATTCAAAATCTGAAACGTGAAAACTTCAGATCTGAGATAGTTAGAACGTAGTTAGTAAATAATCAATAACCCCAGAGCTTATGTTAATCTCACCTTGCATTCGAAGCTTCCAGCACTCTGTTTCACAGCGTCTCCCAGCAGCTTGTGCGCCTCTGTTAACCTGGCTAGTTCCTCCCCGATAGCTTTACTTGCTTTAGCGTTCAGACTCTGCGATACATTGCACACGTCTTATTATTTAACGTACATATTCTGTTATAATATCACGGAAACTCCTAGAAGAAGATTTAAAGAGATGCTCAGACAGCAGCAAGAGTGAGTATTATACTTTTCCGCTACTGAGAGAAAAGTCTTGTCTTTCGCTCCACATGGAAGTCTCATTTTATCATATAAACACGATACTTTATTATTCTTCTAGATTTAAAACTTGATTTTACATATTATTTATTATATGATTTATTGAAGAAACGAAGAAGTTGCAAACCTGGTAGTACTCAGATAGTCCTGACATGTAGTTCTGTTTAGCAAGGCAGATAGCCGTCCACTTGTCCCAGTTAGTTCCTTTCAAGTTTACATTTGACATGGCTTTGTACGCATCTCCGTAGAAGTCAGCAGCTGAACCAGCAAGTCTGCAAGTCACCTGAAGTTGGATTTACTCGTTATTTCTCAGCTAGGGCGGAGTACAAGATGCTTTCTTATGGAATCATGTTTGCTATTTAAAGTGCGTTATCTATATATATTCTAGTAGATATACATATATCCACTAGAATAATATTTTGCGGGAAAATCGAATAAGGAAAATAAGGATTCCTGTTCTTATTGAGGAGTTGAGTCTGATGAAAAATGAAAATGGTAAAAACTGAAAATCAAGTATCCCACCAACCTTCTCCTTCATCTTATCCGCAACTGCTTTGATGTAGATACATTCCTGAGCTTGAGCCTGCATCAGGGTTGTAAGACTAGCGAGTACTTCAGGACTCAGATCAGGTGTCGGTACTTTCTGCATGGTGGGGACCAACTTGTCCCGTAGCTGTGCAAACGCTCCTGACGCTACCTGATAACAGTGATATTTATCAAGAATGTGCTAATTTGATACTTTGGAATGTTGAATAAGGCCAAATCAGTAGTCTAACACTTTACCAGCAGTCGTAAGATTAACAGCACAATGTAATTATAATGTATATAATTATGTAATAAATGCATTTAATTGTAATGTACCTGGAAGTATTTGGCAGCGATTTTGAGTCCGTCGTCAGTGTCAAGGTTCTGAGAAGCTGCTATCTGTGAACTTACAGCGGCGTAGTTGAACAGAACACAGGAACGCTCATACAAACTGTTAGCTGCGCCTGCACGGATACAATGTTACAGGTAAACAGCCAAAAACTTCAAGTGCATATTTGCAGAGGGATTTAGCAGTGAAAATATCTCATCCCTTCTTATAATATCAGCTTACATACTTTACCGAGAAAGTGGGACCTCCCAAGAGTCCAGGTTAATTATGGTTTGACAGTGTACGATGAAGTAATGATATCGGGGGATACTGTGTGGTAGATACACTACCGTAATTTACTTGTCACTGATAACTTATTACTGTCCGCACTCACAGCTCATTCTTTATTCAACTGTTATTCAATATCTTAATACCATCCATATCACGTGTCATACACACCACGTGTCATATACACCACGTGTCATACACAGTACACACCACGTGCCATACACACCACGTTCCATACACACCACGTGCCATACACACCACGTGTCATACACACCACGTGTCATACACACCACGTGTCATACACACCACGTGTCATACACACCACGTGTCATACACACCACGTGTCATACACATTACACACCACGTGTCATACACACCACGTGTCATACACACCACGTGTCATACACACCACGTGTCATACACATCTGCCTAATTTCAAATCTTGTCAACAATACTGAATATAGTGTAGCTGTATTTAAATTAGTTTATAGTAATAATCTCGGTGAGTAAGTTAAAAAGTAAACAATGACAAGTGAAAACACTGGATGTATTGTCTTTTAAATGAGGAATAAGTTTAAAGTTGGTACAGTAAAATAACATGCATGTATATATACATAATTTATATTGTATATTATTTTTATTAACGCATAACGAGTTGGGTAACAAGATTGCAAGGTTTGGGCTAGTTATTATTTGAAAACTGATGTTGATATGATTGACATTTGATTTTCGCGATCGATTGGTCTTTACTGATTGGTCTCTACTGAAATTTGTCACGTGTCAAGACAAAATTGTGACATCTAGAAAATATCTAAAGAATAAATAATCAGTACTTACTTCCACGTTTGCCGCTAAACACAGAATCCTTGTAGAAAGAATCGTACCACGTGAAGGTCACGTGTATCTGAAAATAATTTATTTTTACTAGAATCTAGAATATCTGACATTCGATCAATGAATTCAACTTTTTGGCCAGTGTTCAATATCTAAACTTTAAACACGGACTACGCTATACTATGTGAAAAACTAGGTCGAGCGATTGACTAGTACTACATTGACAAGAATGTAATGTAAACTGTTAAAATATGCAGACATGTTGGATGCTAACTAAAAATTCGCACAATAAAAACCTGATTCTCGTTTATTGGGAGTTTGCAGTCCATGGCAGACATTTGAAGGTAATATCTAAGGAGTTGCTCGGCACCCTTTTCCGACTTCTCCACCGCGAGAATCTTCTCTCTCATCTTACTTACATCGTCAACTCCTAGTGACATCTCCTGAAAATAATAGGATTGTTGATGATATTACATAACATTTCTTCAGCTCGAAGAACAGGAATATTTTAGATTGTGCTCATTAATCAGATGTTTTCTAGAATTTTTATTTGTTTTAAACATAAATTATGTAATATGACAAAACAAAAGTGTCTTACATTTCCTGGACAACTGACAAGAGAATCTAAAGGAATGAACTCATAAGATATCTAACTCATACGAAATCTAAGTTCGAGTACAATGTGCAATGTATATTGTACATAATAGATAATATAGATATGTACAATGTATATTGTATAGTAACATAGCGTATCACAACCTACCTCTTGTTGTTCCGGGAAAGCTCCCATGATAAATGTCATGAGCGGACGATGGAGGTTAGCGCGGTCCCCTTTCTTAGGGTCAATTGCTATCATCCCAGTCATAGCCCCAACCGACATGACTACCTATCATATAAAAATATGTTAATGAGATACCCTACAAAATTCGAAAATGTATTTATTTTTATAAAATAACAGGCGAAGGTTATAATCTACCAAGTTCAGCTAACAGCTATTTGATTAATGAATGAACATTCATCTTCAGCACATTGCAGTTACATATATATTGGTTTATCAAATATAAAAAATTTCATTTAAAACATAATAAATAAGATTTAAGATACACACAAAATTTAGCAAAGCAATCTGTTGATCATTTTAAACTCATTGTTTTCTCGTTTGAGGGTCACACCATTTGTATTTAAATCTGCTTATCCGAGTAAATAAATATGCAGACTTCTCAGTATTTTATCTTCGGGATCACATGGAGTCAATATAACAAGCTCAGGAAGTTTTCTGCAGAATCAAGTCCTCGGAGAATTCCCAGAGCTTTTTCTGAATGTTAGAATTACATGCAACATCCTCAAGGGCATTCTTCTTACAATCCCCATAATACTGGCCACTCTCTAACCCATCCTCAACAGAGCAATACACATGAGTCTGAGCCCCTTCTGCTGGAGTCCTGATTATCAAGGGTAGTACTCGACCCAGAATAGACAAAATAAAGCTCTGTGGTTTGACATAACGAGCAAGACTGGTATAACAAAGACCAGGATGAAGGGATAATGATTGTATTTCAGGATGCTTTATAGCTAGTTCCTTGCTGTGATATATTTGAGCAAGCTTACTAGTCGAATAAAGGCTTCGGTACATATCTTTATCTAAAACTTCTGGTACTTTAATAAGCTTTTCCAAATCGTACGGATCTATTTTTCCTCGAGTGTACAGACCAGAGCTAACATTGATAACTTTTTGCAGTGAATATTTCTGAATCATAAGATTGGTGAGATAAAAGTGAGCCAAGTAATTGGTAGCAAATGTTTGCTCCAAACCATCTACACTTTCAGGAACAGGACTTCCCCAGAGAGCAGCATTGTTGATAAGAATGTCCACTTTGTCCACTGTCAACTCATCAACAAACTCTTTAGTTTTAGCAAGGGAAGAGAGATCAAGGTGCCCATATTTAATCTGAAATGTCAATTGTCCTGTTATTTAACATGAAAAAGTAAAGTAAATTATATGCATTTAGTGTATCTACCGAAAACCCCTATTTACCACAGCCATTTCTCCCAATTGTACAATTAAATGCGATCAATCGAAACCGTGATTTACAGCGAACCCTGATTTATTACAGTTTTTTCTTTTCCCCAAACTAAGCGGTAAATCACGGTTGTACTGTACCATTAATTTGACTACTTACAGTTAGCATTCTGTAATCTATATTAATATTTTAAGTGGGTAGAGTGAATATGAACTTACCTCTGGGCTTTCAGGAAATTCTGCCCTTACTTCTTTTATAACAGCCATAGATTTATCAAGTGTACGGCATGCTATTATAACATTGGCATTCCTGCGAGCAAGCTCTCTTGCTGCAGCAGCTCCAAGACCACTGTTACCTCCTGTTATCAACACAGTTAAACCTGAGAGATAGTTGCTATAAATATAATTTTTCACAATCAATTTATGAGATTCCAATCAAGATTACTTCATTTTTTAAAGCTTGCTTATAGATACGTCTTATACTAAAGTTTAATCAAAGTCTATACTTATAGTCAGAAAAGCTAATCTAGGAAAATTGTGATGAAGTAAACCATCAAGTGTCTTCTGATTGTTCCAACAGTTCTTTGGTTTCAATTTTCTTCTTGCTGCTAAAGCTCCCACTGCACATAGAACAACAGTACCAGCCAAGGCATATGAGGCACCAGTAACCAGATAAGAAAGGTAGCCTCTGTCACTCATGATAGTATTTAATTAGTGGCCATCCTTAATTGTATAATCAGTGTAAAAGGGGAAGTAAGGAAATTATTAAGCCTTTTCAATCTTGATGAAAGATTACCCTGTCAATTTTTTTTGCACAGTAGAATAACACATGTGTGACAGCCATATTATGCGATGGGTTTTTTTCAACATACTAGGAGATATTTAAATTTGCAAACTATAATCATCTTATCTATTTGACTGAACCTAGAGTGCATACACAATATCGAGAAAGATCTTTTCAGAAATTCGGCCCTAAATTATGGAATGAACTACCATTTGAGATTGAGAATTGTACAACATTGGACTCTTTTAAAGTGTATCTGAAAACATTTCTTTTCAAACGTGCTCATAATATTGTAAGTAAAACAAAATTTAAGTAAAACAAAATTTAAATTTTATTGCCATTACAATGAATAATGATATCATAATAAATATAAGTAGACATCCGATAATAAATTTGTTACATCCATTACAATCCAAGATGTCAGCCGACTAACAAAAATAAAGAAAGCTAGCATGTTTATAGTTTTTCTAACGAGCATACTTAGGCTGTACGGAAATAGCTTTAATTCTAATCTTAATATATTTAATCTTTAATATTTTTCAATCCTAGTTTTCCCTAATTGGTTCTACTGGAAAATACATACACATTATCGATTATTTAGTGTATCAAGTCTAATTACCCTTATCTGGTTTAGAATATAAATGTGGGTTGCTTTTTCAAGTTTTATTGTGTCTTGAACTGTTTTCGTGGCACACCTGTGCATTTTAAGTTGTTGTGCCACTATAATATAAAAGTTTAAATTATTATTATTATTATTTAAATAAGAAGTCATTTATCATCTGTATACTAAAAGTTATTATCAAGTCATATTGTGTGATGCATACAAATGAAGTTAAAATTTTTATAGCAAATAGAAATTCTGTATTTTACATATAAGTCAATGAATAATTTAAATAACTTTAACCAGCGCTTTCATTAGGGCATATGACATTTTAACATTTTAAAAGGCTTTGTATGTTTGAGCTTATTATGTTCCAAATAATTCATAATCTGAATCTTTGGTGAAATATTGCGATCGAGAAGGTGAAAATAAAAGTTTTTTTTGTATGCAAAATTTTGTCAATCCAGCATCGGCAATATTTACTATACTATTTTTAAATAAATTGTTCAAACAATATACATAGATAACTACAACAAGGGTAATTGTCTAGCTATGAGGTTAGACACCCTCGAAAATGAATTAACCATGAATACAATAAATTGAATTTTATAATGTATTATTTGATAATTTGTATGTAGATTTTAGATGAAAATAGATCTGAAGGTTACAACTTAATTTTGGTGTATCAGGAGGTGGACTATAGACTTTTATTGTGAATGACTTATCTAATCAAGACTCAAGAGCTAGTACTTCAAAACTACTTGCATTGAGTCTGAATGTAATTTTTACGATTTGCACTTTCCCACGTCTCGCGCCCACGTAAAGAATAAATTATAAATTATAAACATGAAACAAATGCATGCGGAGGAAAGGCAAGCTTTGAATTTGCATTAATAACAAATAAACCCAACACTTAACTTAAATGATGTAAAATGAATTTGCCTTTCACATAACCATGTGCTTTCGCACCACTGAGGGCGCACTTGTTTCACAATAAGCGCCGGGAGGCGGGCGCGCGCCACTGCAAGCGCAAGAGCTCTGATAGAGCAAAATTCTCCTCACGCGACGTTGTTTACTCATTACTGGGCTTGCTCTATCCAGAGCCCTTGCGCTTGCAGTAGCGCGCCCGCCTCAGGCCTTGACTTGTGAAACAAGCGAGCCCGAAGTGGCGCGAAAGCACATGGTTAGGTGAATACTGGGCCACGCTCAGCCTGTCATTCCGCCTAATCTCTATTGTTTATGAACATGATAGCGGATAGCCTGAGGTCCCCAGGTAACACGTTGTAAGCGGTTTGTAACCTATAGCTATTTAGACGCGTGCCGAGTTGAACTAGTCGACAGTCTTAATTGACAATATCAATTCTTCGCAGCTCAGCGAGGCTTGTTGTTATGTATTGTATATTTGATATATATTGCTGATATATATTGTATTTGAATAAATGGTTAATTATATATTGTTCAGGTTTTGATGGGAAACTAGTGTATGACTTGTCCAACAATAACGCAAGCACATAACATAACATGGTGTCAGAAGTGGGATCTGAACCCACGCCCACATTCGTTAGAGGATTTTTCGAATGTACCCAGTATGAAAATGACCAGCCTTTCGACCAGTGGGTAGAAGAATTTGAAGACTCAATGCTTGCAAATTTTGGGGAAATAGACGACAGGCGAAAGAAAGCCATTTTGATGCAGCTGTGTGGGGGAGCCGTGAAAAAATTTGTATCAAGCCTAAGCAATGAAGCGAAAGCTTCATACAAGTTGATCAAGGTCGAGATCATCAATAAATTTAGACATACTGCAAACGAGACGGTAGAAAGACACATTTTTAACACAATGGACCAGGAAGAAGAGGAAACCATTGAAGCATTTCAAATGAGGCTTCGAATGCAGGCTAAGAAATGCAACTACACGATCCCGCCAAGAGAAATAGAAATCGATCTAGAAGGTGGAGAGAAGAAAAAGATCAAACTTGAAGCAGAGGACATATCAGAGAGCCTCATCAGAGACAGGATCGTAGTAGGAGTGTCTAACCGAGCCACGAAAACAAGGCTTCTTAGAGAACACAACCTCACACTGGAAACTGCAGTCAAAATTGTTAAAACCCAGGAGATGGCAGACAAGAGGATTCAAACACTGCTAGCTACAACTAACGCCAGCATAAATGCCATCGGGAGGAAAAGACCCAGACCTCAAAACGAACCATCAAAACCTCAAGTTAACAAGAGATACAAACCGCAAAACTCACAAGGAAAATGTGGTTATTGTGGGAACCAACACCAGTTTGGAAACCCTGAGCACTGCCCAGCGTATCGACGGACATGTTCAAAATGTGGAATGAAGAACCATTTCGCCAAGGTTTGCAGATCTAAAAGAAAGATCGACATGATCCACCAAGATTTTTGCGACCCTTCCGAAGAAGATCTAGATGCAGTGATGAACGAAGACGACAAAGATGACAGCATCTACACCTCGGAACTCAACATTGGTGCTATCTCGGTAAGTCAACGAGCAGTTGAAGAAATCAAATGTAGGGAATGGACTGAGCAAATTCTTTTAAATGGTAGAAAAACTCTTTGCAAAATTGATACTGGTGCTGAATGCAATGTTATCTCTAGTGTAGTGTTAAAATCGATTGTATCAAACCCCAAAATTAGAGATACTAGTATTAGATTAAAAGCTTATGGAGGAACTGGAATAACCTCTTTAGGTACTATATTGCTTAATTGTGAGATAAACGGTAATAAGCACAGAGCTGAATTTCATGTTGTACCATTTCTAGCCAGATCTATTCTAGGTTTAGAATCATTGATCAGACTCAATCTCATTAACCCGTTTGCGAGTGTACCACCGACCACAACCAGCTCGTCTAATCCAGTTCACACTAACCCCACAACACCTCATCACAGACCTTCACATCAATTTCAGGTTGATATTCTCTCTGGTAGACAAAGTCTAAGGGAGAAGAAAGAAGCAACACCCAAGACAAAGTCCCAACACGAAGATAAGATACGAGACCTGATGAAAGATCACGAAGATGTTTTCAAAGAAGACACGATTGGCTGCCTGTCAAACGTAAAATCGAAGATCAAGTTGAAAGACGGTGCACAACCAGTTCAACATGCGGCAAGAAAGCTAGCCTTCTCGATCCACACCGAAGTCCAAGAGGAACTGGAGAGGATGCTGAAGCTTGGAGTGATAACGAAAGTTGACGAACCCACAGATTGGGTGAACTCGATGGTGGTTGTAAAACAACCAGAGAAGCTAAGAATATGTCTTGACCCCACGGATCTGAACAGATGGGTCATGAGAGAACACCACCATTTGCCTACCCCAGAAGAAACGTTATCAAAGATAACAAATGCAAGATGTTTCAGCAAACTAGACCTCAAAAGTGGATATTGGCAGCTCCCCCTCGAAGAGAAATCCAGCAAGCTGACCACGTTCAACACTCCATTTGGAAGGTACCGATACCTTCGTCTTCCTTTCGGACTGAACAGCGCAAATGAAATATTCCAGAAGAGAATGACAGAAAAATTCGAAGGTTTCCCAGGCGTGTTGATAATATTTGATGATATCCTCGTATTCTCTAACACCTTCGAAGAGCACACGGCCAGGCTTGGAGCTGTGTTAGAACGATGCAGCCAAGTAGGAATAAGGTTGAACAAAAAGAAGTGCAAATTCCTGTGTGACGAGGTGAAGTATATCGGACACATTATCACACCGGAAGGACTCAAACCCGACCCAGAGAAGATTGTCGCGATAACTCAGATGCCTGCACCAGCAGACAAAAAAGGAATCCAGAGATTCCTGGGCATGGTAACGTATCTGGCCCGATATATTCCAAACCTCAGTGAAAAGACACACCACTTGAGGACCATGCTCCACAAAGACAAAGTATTCTGCTGGAATTTCGAGCAACAGAAGGCATTTGACGATCTCAAGAAGGACCTTACAGATGATACAGCTCTGGCACATTATGATGTCACCAAACCCGTTGAGATACACACAGATGCATGCCAAGCTGGTTTGGGAGCCTGTCTCTTACAGCAAGGAAAACCAGTAGCATATGCTTCAAGATCACTGACTGAAACAGAGAAGCGGTATGCAAATATTGAAAAGGAGCTACTATCAGTTGTATTTGGCTTAGAGAGGTTCAACCAATACGTGTATGGGAAACACGTGCAGGTATATACAGACCACAAGCCTCTGACTCCGATATCCATGAAACCAATTCATGCAAACCCAGCCAGATGCCAGCGCCTCCTGCTCAGACTACAGAAGTATGACTACAAGCTATCCTACAAACCAGGTAAAGATCACGTCATACCAGACACCCTTAGTCGTGCCACAGTTCCAATTTCCACTCACGACACTGTTTTAGAGCGAGAATGTGATCTTAATGTACACATGATTGTAGAGACTGTAAAGAGTTCGATGCAAATGAAACATAAACTTAAAATAGAAACGGCTAGGGATCCTTGTTTAGCTAAAATCACTGAATATATCACCAATGGGTGGCCAGATGACACACGGCAATGTGATCCAAATGTTACTCCGTATTGGTCAATGAAAGACCAACTGTCAGTTTTTGACGACTTAGTTCTGTTTGATGATAGAATTGTAATTCCAAAGGTTTTGCAAAATGATATTCTGAGAAAGTTGCATGACACACACCAGGGTCGTGTTAGATGTAAAGCTTTAGCTAGAAAGGGAGTATATTGGAGAAATATTAATTCAGATATCGACAATATGGTCGACAAATGTACTGAGTGTCTAAGTACACGGAAGCTTCCGATGAAAGTTGAACTCAAATCGCATAGTGTTCCATTGAGACCATTTGAGAAAGTAGGAGCAGATATTGTTACTGTTATGGGTCGGAAATATCAAGTTGTCATAGATTACTTTACCAAATGGATAGAAGTTAGCGAGTTATCTAGAAATCCGACGTCTGACCAACTTATTTCACATTTTAAGTCTATATTTGCCCGTTTTGGTATTCCTGATATAGCTTTTTCAGACAGAGAACCAATATACGCGTCGGTGGTAATGAGGAAGTTTTGTGAGAAATATGATATCGATAAGTGTTTTAGTTCCGCACGATACAGTCAATCTAATGGGCAGATTGAACGAGCTATTGGGCACGTTAAGAACATTATTACACGATGTAAAGGTAATTTAGATAATGTTAATATGTGTTTACTAGACTATAGAGCGACTCCATTGAGCCCTCAATTGGGAAGCCCCCATAATCTATTAATGGGAAGAGATGTTAAGACAAATTTGCCATATTTACAAAGCTCATTGGTAACTGAGAGAGACTGCAAAAACCGTAAATTATTACTCGATAGACAAGCAGCAAGTGCTCAATATTATAATAGAAATGCTACTAAATCTTTTGATATGTGTAACCCGGGTGATATAGTGATTTACAAAGACGGGAAATCTGACAAGACTTGGCGCCAAGCCAAAGTTGTGTCTGTTGACCGCAAATTTCGCTCATACACCCTTCTGAACAGTGTTGGAAATGTTATCACGAGAAACAGATCCATGGTAATCCAGGATAAAACTGGTAGAGGATTCTCGGCTTCTCATGATAAGTTCTTCGATACTCTTCAGACCCCCAGCCCACTGGAAGTACCAAAAAGTTGTGACCCCCGACTGATTCCAAAACCCATACTAGCGCCAAAGGCACAAACAGAAACTCCCAAACCAAACCCCTGCAGCACCCCAGCCAAATTAAAGAAGACCATTACTGTCCCTGTTACAAAATCTAATATGCCACCCGCGATAGCTAAGGAGTACAAACTTAGGTTATATGCCGAGAGGCATAATACTCAGCCGGTAACGTTGAGACGGTCTGAGAGATTAGCGGGGAAGGCTGCCAAATAGTTTCTTTTTATAAGTGTAGAGTTAGATACGGTTAAAGAATCTAGTATACGGATGTTTTTATATTTATTACCATTAAACGAGACAATTTTAAGTAAATTCAGTTTTTAGTTTTTCCAGATTTTTAATTTATTTTAAATTATTTTGATTCCACAACATTGTGTGTGCGAATAGATGTGAGAACAAAGAGATTTTGGAAAGGAGATGGAAGGCGCGAGCGCCTAACGCACTATTCCTGTGAAATTGTTGAAGGACGTAGGCACTTGCGCAGAGATAGCGCGCGCACGCGCATAGCGTGTGACGTGTCTTTATTTCGTTAGTTCCCAAAGAGGGAGATGTTATGTATTGTATATTTGATATATATTGCTGATATATATTGTATTTGAATAAATGGTTAATTATATATTGTTCAGGTTTTGATGGGAAACTAGTGTATGACTTGTCCAACAATAACGCAAGCACATAACATAACACTTGTCATACGTTGAATGATCACCCGCCGCGCACGATCAAGTGCGCGGCTCCCCCCTGTATCGTCAGGACGATAGTGAAACGACCGTGGGTGTCGCAACGTGATACAAGGCGAGGCCCATTAGCGCATCTCGCCGATCTGCGAGAAACATTATTGGATGCGCGCGGCGCGGCCCAGTAACGCTACAACGACGGTCTTGGAACAAATATTTTAAGAGTATCACCCGTTTTCACATAGCCATGTGCCTTTTGGCCCCAAAGGTTTTGCTCTATTACGGGTAAACCTAGGATGCTGCAGATTCAACTCTGTACATTCAGACCGTCTGTGCGTGGTGAAGAGCCACATCCTGCTCGAGGTGGGGCTGCATGCAACTTCAGTGATGGAGTTGTAACTGAACACAGCGGATCTAGGGGTGCACCCCCTAAAAAAAGCCGGGCATCCTCAGAACAAGCTCGTGATGATGGTGATTTGGGTTAATGAAGATGTAACAGATTCCGGAACTATGGGAGCACCATCTGTCATCTTTCCGTTTTATTTACTGTATGTGGGAACATCTACTGATGAAGTAGCTATCAAGAGAGCCATTCCAGTGGCGCAGGTGGCTCACGTGTCACATAGCCAACAGAAAAGAAACATGATGAATAGTTCTTACAGCACTAGGGTATCAGCCCCTACTTTTGTTTCTGGACGTGAAGGTGGTAATGATTTCACCAACTTAAATCCGAATGGAAGGTTGGTGAATGATGAGCCTAATCAACCTGAAACACCCAACATAAACGAAAACAACAAAAAAAGTTTATTTTCATGTACCGACATTACCTGGGTAGGCACTCTTAACACTAGAACGATAAGAACTGCTCAGAGGAAACTGGAGATGGTACATCTTTTCGAGAAGAGTGGAGCAGAGATTGTAGGTATCCAAGAGCACAGGATAGTCCATGAAGAGCCTGTCAAAGTAGAGAGAGTTGGCAAGAGCAGCTATCTAATTACTTCATCAGCTACTAGGAATCGGGCCCAGGCAGCAGTGGGCGGAGTGGGATTCATCCTAACTAGCAAGGCATTTGACGCAACTACGGAGATAACACCAGTAACGGAGAGAATCCTTAAGATATCTCTAAATGGTAATCCTAAACCAACCTTCGTCTGTGTCTACGGACCTACGGAGGCAGATAGTGTAGAAGCAGCAGAGAAGTTTCATACCGATCTAAGGTGTGCAGTCTCACAGATCCCTGCTCACAACTTCTTGGAGGTGATTGGGGATTTTAACGCTCACCTATCAAAGAGGGACGAGAATGACTTCGGTTGGTATTTCCATGAGAGAACCAACAGAAATGGGGAGCTGCTTCGGGATACTGCCCTGGAATGTAATCTGGAGATTACAAACACCAGGTTCAGGAAGAAGCGGGGTAAGATGTGGACTCATCTATCGGATGGAACCCTGAATAAGTCTCAGTTAGACTTTATTCTAGTGAGGAAGAAGTGGAGGAACAGTGTCAAAAATACTGAAGTCTACAGCTTTTTTAGTACACTGGGTACTGATCATAGACTTGTTTTGTCTAAGATCAAGCTATCTCTTCGACGAGCAAAAAAGCAACCCAAGAAAACCTGGTATAATTGGGGAGCACTTAAATCGGATGAAGACCTACAGAAGAGATATGCAGTAGAAGTCAAGAATCGGTACTCTGCTTTATGCGAGCAAACCGATGAAAGTGAGGTTACGGAACTGTATGGGCATTTTGTTGATGCGATTGCTGATACCAACAAAGCCATACTGCCTAAGAGAGAAAAGATTAAAGAAGAGACGTGACGATTTCACGGGTGATCAGCGAGTTCAAAGCGTGCGTACAGCCTTGCAGCAAGCAGAGACTGTCTATCACCGGGAGCCTAGTGAAGACAGTCGACTGTCTGTTAAGCTACTAAAAACTGAACTGGATCAGGTGTACCAGGACATCTTTGAAGAAGATCTAGTTGCCAAGGTTAGAAGGGTCGAAATGGCTGCAGACAGATGCAAAAACAAAGAAAGTTGGAATGTCATAAATGAGATAACTGGCAGGAAGGCCAAGGGGGCAACTCAAATAAGGGGCAACGGAGCCGAAGAAAGGAAGAAAAATTGGCTTGGGCATTTCACGAATCTGTTAGGGAGTATACCGGATGTGGAAAACGAGCATCCTAGGATCGAGACTCAATTTGAAGGACTCAACATCAGTACAGAACCTTTTACTGTGGATGAGCTTAAAGCTGCTAAACACAGGATAAAAGAAGGTAAAGCACCAGGTGATGACGGCATACCACCTGAAGTCCTCAAAAGATGCGACCTGGATGAAATCGTGCTGTCCTTCTGCAACAAAGCCCTGACAGATGGTATTGCGCCAGATCAGTGGAGGATAAGTAACATCATCCCGGTTCCCAAAAAGGGAGACTTGACCAACCCTGGAAACTGGAGGGGGATATCTTTGACTTCTCTCGTAGCTAAGACTCTTAATAGAATGGTGCTTAATAGGATCCAGCCGGCTATAGAGGGGGTACTTAGGGACACTCAGAATGGTTTTCGGGAAGGACGGTCTACTACTAGTCACATCTTGGCACTCAGAAGGATTCTAGAGGGGGCTAGATAGAGAAATTTACCGGTAGCTATGGTGTTTGTTGATTTTAAGAAGGCCTTTGATTCACTTCACCGGGGAATTTTGATGCAAATACTAAAGGCCTATGGAATACCGGACAGTATTGTAGATATCATTAATCTTCTCTATGTCAACACGAAGGGCAAAGTTATAACACCAGATGGGGATACCGAGCTATTTGATATCCTGGCAGGAGTTCTTCAAGGGGATACATTAGCACCATACTTGTTCATTATAGCCCTTGACTATTGCATGAGACAAGCCTTAAGCAAGCATCCTGAAATAGGATTTACCATTAACCCATTAGGGACGATAGGGTCGTTTTTATGATCCACCTTTTCTAGAGGACAAACCAAATTACTAAACGCTATAACGAATCTATAGCATATATGCTCAAAATTTATTGGGCTACATTATATGTAGCCCAATAAATTTTGAGCATAATATATGCTATAGATTCGTTATAACGTTTAGTAATTTGATTTGTCCTCTATAAAAGGTGGGTATATAAACGACCCTATCGTCCCCAATGGGTTAAGCCTTATCGGAGTAGGAGAGTCAAGGCGGAGAAGATAACAGACACTGGTTTTGCAGATGACATTGCTCTGATAGCAGATACTGTAAAGGAGGCAGAGATGCTGATGCTAGAGGTAGAAAGAGTTGCTGCTACAGTGGGACTTAGAATGAATGAAGGGAAAACCAAATTCATTACTCAGAACATCGAGAACCCTGATACCATCAAGTCCCTGGGTAACAACACAATAGAGCACGTGGAAGACTTTACCTATCTTGGTTCTAGAATCAGAGACAGTGAGAGTGATATCAGGGTTAGGAAAGGAAGAGCATGGGGAGCATGCCACACTCTCAAAAAACTTTGGAAATCTAACCTTAGAAAGTCTATCAAGACCAGAGTGTTCACAGCACTAGTCGAGTCGGTGCTTCTATACGGTTCTGAGACTTGGACTATGACGAAAAGGCTGGAGAAGATGGTTGATCGTTGCTATACACGAATGTTAAGAATGGCCCTTAAAATCAATCAATATCGAGACCATGTCAGCAACCACAGTCTGTACGGTGATCTTCCTAAAGTCAGCTCCAAGATAACCCAACGAAGACTCAGACTTGCAGGTCATGCTCACCGACATCCGGAGCTGACACTGAACAAACTGATCCTCTGGAAGCCGAGTCATGGGCATACTAACAGGGGGCGACCTTACCTAATACTACTAGATAACCTAAAAGCAGATACTGGGCTGAAATCAGTAGATGAGATAGCTAGACTGATGGAGGACAGAAAGCTGTGGAGAACTGTTGTCAATGGATCTCGGGAATACTACCCGCCTTAAGTCAAGTAAGTCAAGTCATGTGCCTACGCGTACTGCGTGACGCGCTTGTTTCACAAGTAGGATAGGCGGTCGCGCGCTACTGCAAGCGAGAGGGCTCTGGTTAGAGCAATCACCCGTTGATAAGAGGTCGGGCCGCATATCATCACATTACACGAGTGCGCGTTTGTATCGTGACTTATTCACCCTGATACTGTACACTATGCCCTGCCCTTGACAGATGTTACTCGTCTAAATTTCTTCGAAGTAGCGCGCGCCGTGGGCAGACCATTAACAATGGTCAATACACCCCCACTAAATTATAAATGAAATGGCAATGGAGGTCACGACATGATACCAAAATAAATTGGATTTTAGCTGAATTTAGAAATGCAAATGACAAATGAATATTATCAATTATTACAAATATAAATACATCAAAAAAACATAATGCGATTTAATTCATGATTTGAAAACTACTGTAATTTGCATTAATACATAAAAACATTAAATTAATTTTAATGGTGTAGCAGAATGCCCTACTGGACCACGCCGCGCACGAAATAATGCTTTTCGCTACCTACCACACTTGACGAGATCGTAGCGAACTTAAACTGTGAAGCTATGAAATAATTGAAAGGATAGACATTGTCACTCAATTCTAATATACAAGTCTAAATTTCATTTTGCAAAAGTTAAGTTCTTTATCAGTGATCATGATGAAAATCTTGTAACATACGTAAATACAATAAATGCATTATTAATATACTAGATAAGTAAAACAAAATTTAAGTAAAACAAAATTTAAATTTTATTGCCATTACAATGAATAATGATATCATAATAAATATAAGTAGACATCCGATAATAAACTTGTTACATCCAGTACAACCCAAGATGTCAGCCGACGCGACTTACAAAAATAAAGAAAGCTAGCAT